TTGCCTCACTACATTGTTCAATTAGCTTCATGTAACAGAGCTTTTGACTGCTCTGCAGCTAAAAAACATCTTGGATACTCACCTGTTGTCTCCCTAGAAGTAAGTTTCCGCTGTCTTTCTTTGTATGTAAATGCATTCCTTTCTACCATATAATGTTCCCACTATCTGTTATTTCTTTTGGCACTCCTATATTAAATAGAATATTTTCTAGTTCTTCTGTTAGCCTATAGTTTTTCATGATTTGTATTTGGACTTTTTAGAAACTAGAATACTTCTTATCATTTGACTAGCCAAAGATTTTACTCATTGCATTCAATTTCTTTTTCTGCTTTTGAATTTTTTTTTCATCTCATGGTATTTTATTGCCATAATATTAATCTTTATAGAGTAGAAGCCCTACACCTTGTCTGCACTTCTAAAGCGTCAACTGGATTATAAGTTATCAGTTGATTTGAACAGTCAACTAAACATTCTTGATTTCAATTTATTTGTTTCCTGGAAAGCAGTAATGTAGATAGGTAACAATGCTAATGCTTTCTTGTTCAAATTCGTAAGTATATCCATTGTGAGGGACATATGGACAATCTTGATGGGAAGATAAATAAAGTGAGGTTAATTCTGCTTATATCCTTGAATGGAAATGATAGGATGACTGGGATTTGGTAGAATTAGGTATCCTCATTGCTTTGCTAAATTTAAAAGCTGGAGGAAATTGAAGCAAAGAAAATGGCCGTTAGGCGTAGGATTTTCTTGTCTAATCCAATAACTGCCTTGTTCTTTATGTCTTTATTCTTTTCCTTCCCCTGAGTTGATAATCTGAAAGACAATTTTCATTCTCTGTTATGCTTTTTTCCATTCATGTTACATTCTATCCCAGCTCAAGAGATAATTAATGTTAGATTTAAGCACTAGCTGATTGAATTCAGCACATCGAAATGTTTGATTTGAATACTGTTTTTTCTCACTTCCCGATTACTTCAATCACTTGAAAATTGTTTTTCAAGATCCAGTGGGGAAACTGCAATATTTTTATCTGAAAGTTTGACATCTTTTTTGTTTTTTGTTGCTGATAATACAGGATGGTGTCAAGTCAACCATTGAATCATTCTCTCATTTAGCCAAAGACTCATCTTTTATGGGATACAGAGATTTTAATGAACAATCTAAAGCAGAGAAGCTGCGAGGCGGTGGTATAGGTATTCCATTATATGATTTTTTATGCAGAATTCCATAATGGCATTGCATAGGCATTTTTTCTGAAGATTATGTTTTGCCAAAGAATTCAAAGTAGTGTCCTTTCAATGATTGAGCACGTTATCAATTTGTTTTTAGATTAATCATGGAACTGTTTATTTCTTTTGCTTACCATTTTGACTACCACTCTTGTACCTGATTTTCAAAGTCCAGGTCTTTCTGATGCATGCTATGTCACAGGATTGTACTATGGTGAAGGTTTTTTGGTTTGTAATTTTTAACTGACAGACTATATAGGCCATGTTGACTTAAGATTGAAGCCTAAGCCAAACTTTTCATGGCAAACTGTACAATTAGATAGAGATTGCTCTACAGTCTGCATCTTTTCTTTGGATGCATCGAAATAGGCTCCTGTAAATAAATGAGGCATGATAGTGCAATTTTCGCTATATAATGACCTTGAATTACTTTGATTCAGTTGCAGACGTCTTGCTGTGGAGAGATGAAAAGAGAACATTTACATGCTTCCTTACTCTGGTTTTCGTATTTTACTGGTTCTTTCTCTGTCGAAGAGCTTTTACCTCATCTGCAGCCAAGCTTCTGCTGCTAGTTACAGTCGCTCTTTATGGATATGGCATTTTACCATCCAAGATGTAAGTGTTGTTAATTATGCCTATATTGTTTTATGGCATTTCATTGGGTCTTGCAACTGCTTCTTCAATTTGCTATAGTTTATTTGAGCTCTACTTCAACACATTGATTGATTCTATCTGGAATGTGAAGCAGTAGCTCAGTCCTCATTCCCCCTTTGGTTTTCCCTTTTCACCTTTTTTTTTTCCCTGTCCATGCTCAATGCCAAATTCGTTTGATTAATATCCTCTTACTCGTACCTGTTTTCCTGCCATTCCCTTAATTTTGCTTTTGCTCCTGTTCGGGTGAGTCATTGGCAACGGGGATGTGGCTTGAGAAAGAGGGTTTGTTATTTTTCCATGAGTTTTTATAGTTAAAGAGATGCACTGAAGTACTTATCATGTTTCCTTGGTTCACTTTAACGATTTGTCAACATGACTGAATCAGGCTTTCTCCCTGTACAGTAAAACTAGCTTATTAGATGTCACAACATTTTTTTTCCTCCTAAAACAATTAAAGAATGTGGTTTAGTTGTTTACAAGGTATAGAGCACCTGACATACCTACACTTCTTTTTTTTTTTCTCTCTAAAGGATTTACATTTCCGTCATTAACTTATAAAGTCTGCAAGTTTTACTTTTCCTTCAATAGCCTATTGACTTTTGTAAAACTTTTTGAAATATCTTTTTCAAAAAGGATAGACACACATGCACATTTGCACATATCTTGTCTCAATTATGGTTGCCTTTGCAATAGATGTGGTTTTGCTGTTCAAAGGATATCTTCGTCTTGTTTTGAAACCCCAGAATCAGCTGTGAAAAATTCACTCAGATCCATATCATACATGTGGAATAGAGTAGTTCGTAATATCAGATTGTTGACCAAGGGGGAGGATTGGAGCAAGTTTTTCAAGGTTTGTAATTTGATGGCATTTCTTTTACAATTTCAGGCATTTTTATAGTGTTTTTATTTATAAGTATTATGGTTTTATTCTAAAACATGTATAATAGCAAATCTCCAACCTAGAACTTTTCATTGTATGTGTTCCCTTGAAAGTTGAAACCCTCATTGTTTCAGTTGAGTTCATCCAGGTTCATTCTAGTAATCTTGTGTTTTCCAAAATGTGCCATTATGATGGTCCATTGCGTCTAAGGTTAATTCTAATAAAGTTATTGGCTTGTTTATATTGTCTAATGTTTTAGTTTGAATGCTATTTCCAAATCTTGTGGTTTGAGGAACTTCATTGTTAGGATTCAGGATTATGCCTATATGAACTTCCGTAGTACTTTGGACTTATTTGATGGATGACTTGTGACGGTTGAATGCTAATTCTTTCTTGTTCCCATCCATGTTCATGCTTCATAGATCAAAATACTTCCAGAAAACCTGATGTTTTCTTCTCTATGGTATCCTACCTTAAAACTTGGTCATATCTCTCTATCAATTCATGCCAACTAACTGCACCAATTGATTATTAAACCCCTAAAATTTGTCAATTCCACAAAATTTCCGCTAAACTGGAGTATTTCTTTCTGTGCTACTTAACCTTTAGGCTCTAACCCTAAAATCCGAATTTTGTTGAACATAAACCGACTGCAAAGGTCTTGCTAATGAGTGCTTTAAGGAACCTGTTAAGGTTAGTACCAATCAAGGAAATAGGAGAATCTTTTACTCGCATGCATTGGAAATTACTACATTTAGATTCAACCATTAAATTTGAAAGTATTTTCAATAGCAGCACCTTAACTACTGTGCTTTAGTCTCTCACTTGCATGTGCCTTAATGATCTCTGATGTGCATTATTAGTAGGTGCATCATACAGCTTGGCTGTTGGAGTATGAGTAGAATATGCAGTTTGGATGTATACATGCACATAAAAGATATGTAATAGATTCCCGGAGGAAATTAGAAGTGTCTCATTAGATCCGAGATTGATTTCCTCATCAAAACACATTGATAAGGAAATAATTCTACACATAACAAAGCCAACTGAAAGCCTGCTTGAGCAATACTTTTGCCTCTAGTTTGCTGTGAATAGTTTGGTTTTGGTTGGACCTTTTACTTAGGGGTTAGATTCTTTTATTAGCCTTGCATAGATAACCTTTGCCGATAACTCAATGTGGATTTTTTGTGAAACTGTGACTTGAATCCAACTTGCAACATACACACATCCAAAATTTTTTTGATTGATCATAACTGTACAAGCTATACATAAGTCTATATAATGCACAACTAAGAGCACACCATTAAGTTCTGTGCTGAATTTTGCTTTACCTATGCAACCTTTTTCTTCCATATTCATTGAACTTCTGACTTATGCATGTAACTTATTCAGGTTGCAGGTTTTCTTTATTTCACCAAGTTGATTCTGTCTTATTCCTTGGCTGTGCTTATTGGCATTGATAAGTAACAATTTACTTTTGCCAATAAATGAACCGTTCTTTCGGTTTATCCTGGTATTGACTTCGGAAACAATCCGAAATGCAGCTCTTGTTTTTGCCTTCACCGCATTTTTTGTCTATGAACAATATGAATCAGAGATTGATGGATTAGGGAAGGTTCTGTTCTATGGTATCATGGAGTCAAAAGAATTGCTATGGAGGAACCTAACAGCTTCCATCACATCATTTCTTCAAGAAAAAGCCCCTGCTCTGTTAAAGGAGTGGAAATAGCCGGATCAAGCTCTCGTGATCGGCTATCCTGGTTAGACTTGAAAGTTGAATAAGACACTAGAAATTGCTTTTCCTATCAAAATAGTTAAGTAGATGAGTTGTTAGTTTTAATTGAACAGCATGAGTTTGTACATTTTAAAGCAAAGCAGGTTATAGGGACACATGCACATGCATAAAAGTGTCTGTAACACGTGTCTAGTCTACTAGAAAAAAAATAGTTGACGTTTGACAAGCATGTATATTTTAAATGGACTTATCAATTTTAAACTTCACATATTAATACGATTACGGAAATAATAAAAATAATATCAAAATAATATGATTTAAAATTTTAATAAAAAATATATATTAATTTAATAAAAATAATAAAAATATTTTATATTTAACATGTCATACGAATATATTTTATATGACAGTTTTCGTATCTTAAAAGTTTCATTCTATCTGAATTATTTCGTCTGTTAAAATGTGGTTACTGGCGAATAATGGCTGTGTGATGCTTTGTTTCCTATCATAAAGTATTAAGGACGTGCAATTATAGCTGCAATCACAAATTCCATATGGAAGCCCTTTTCATTGTTTTAGAATAATTACAATCCCAAACAAAACTCTGTTCACACCCTTAGTAAACAAAAAATCCACGCTGCACACACACCAATACGCCACGTTAGCCCAACCAAACTGCCCTCATCAGTTACGCATCTCATAATTTTACCGACGTGGTCAATCGACACCGTTTCAAAGCAGCCCTAACCTTCGTTTACATCGGTTCACTTTCAAATTCTTTCGTTGGATTCTCTAGGGTTTCAGATTTTCAACCAATCTCTCTCTCTCTATTCCATTTTAACAATTTCTTAAATCCCTCTTGTTAAAATCCCGAACAATGGCGCCGACGATGAAGCAACCGAAGCTAGGGAAAGAATCGGAAGAACCCGAAACGCCGTCGAACCATTTATGGGTGGGAAACCTGTCTGGAGAGACGGTGGATTCGGATCTGATAGAGTTGTTCAACAAGTATGGCGCCCTTGATAGCGTCACGACGTACTCATCGAGAAGCTTCGCTTTCGTCTACTTTAAACGCGTGGAGGATGCCAAGGCGGCAAAGGACGCTCTTCAAGGAGCCAGCTTGCACGGAAACCAGATCAAGATTGAGTTCGCTCGTCCGGTTCGTTTCGTTGTTCTTCTCTTCTCCGTCTCGTTAGGTTTTTCAAATTATCCGCTCTTTCTTTGTAATTATTTGTGTTTATATTTTGAAGGAAACAGAAGACAAATAGCTGGTTTACGTCTTCCAAATTCGTATATATATATTTTCTGCAGATTTTTTCATATATTAGTTGTATGAACGCTCGCAATGAATCTTAAATTTAAGTAATGCAGCCGAAATATGAAACTGGAGGAATTTATAGTTTAATAATTTAATATAAAAATGTAAGGAATAAGCGCAATCTGATATAATTCTTTTTCATAATTATTAAGCCTAAAAGTTTCATAATTTTTTGCTTAATGGAACCCACAAATCTTTGCAACCAACAAAGAAAATCATTCAAATTTTATAATGAGAAAATCGTTCAAATTTTACTGATTTATGGGTTAAGGAGGGTAATGGTGAAGATCTTTAAGACAATGTGCGGGTGTTCTACTCTATGTTACTATGTGTCAAAAGAAAAATGAGTAATTAGAAGACTAAAACATATGTACAAATATTTCTATTCTACTTTTATTTGTTCCTTATTTTATTCCAATTTCTACTTTACAATTTTCCCCTGAAACTATAATCTTACATGGTTTAAAGCTAGCAACTGGTTAACTATTTCCAATTTTAATATGTTCTATACTTCTTTTACCTATATCTGAATAGAAAAATGGATGCACAATGGGTTGATCAAGAGATCTTAATATACATTCTCTTCTTATTAGTAAAGCTCTAGATTTTTTAATTTTATCTTTTTGTTTTTTGTACAAAGGAGGCTGTAGTCTGGGGATATGGGAAGGGGTTGTTTGTGCTGGGATTTGAACCCAGGTCCTGCTAGATGCCAGCTCTTAAGAGTGGCTTCATAAACCAATTGAGTTAAGCTTTGGGTTCTTTTAATTTCATGTTTGTGTCTATCACATCTTCCCCTTAATGTGGGTTGATGGAAGGATATAATATTGAGTTGATGGAAATTATCAGGGTTGATTTACCTTCATTTGGTGGTTACTATTGACCTCATGTCTCCATTCCCCCATTCCCTGGTCCATACTTGGAGGCAACTGCCAATTGATGTGTTATCACTACCAAAAATTACAAGATACAGCGTATTTTGCCAAAAAAGATAAGGCAGACTCTAAGAACTTATATCAATAACAGGAAAACGTCCCAGAAAGAAAATTATAAACTAGTATTACTAGAGAGAAACCTCTCAAAACCTATCAAAGTGTTCAATCAATTGACTAACCTGCTTCTCTAAATGCCTTTCCAAATGAATAAAAAAGATACATACATATATGTATATATATATATATATTTTTTTTTGTTGAATTGTTGAATAACAAAAAAAAAAAAAATGGACATCATTCCCTTACACACAAGATTGAGGTATTTAACAATTTATGATTTCCTTTAAAACTGGTTTGATTTTCACTAGTGTTCCATCTGAAAAATTTTGATCAAAGAATGAAACTTTAAGGTTGATAGCCATATTTTTACAAAAGGAGTTTGATCAAATTGGTTCTTGAGCTCTTGTGCTTCAACCAAAGCTTTTGTATTTTTCTTCTTGTATGATGAATGATAAGTTATCTTTTGCAACTTATACTTTTAATTTATATATTAAAACAAATTTATGTATGTTTGGTTTAAATTTTGATAAACTTGGGTGGAAATTAAACAAGCTTGGTGACTCAATGGAATATAATAAAATTATTATCTAGGTTATCTAGTTAATCATGATGTGATCTTTACAAATATATCCATTTTATTTCTAGAAGTTGGAAAAAACATATATTGATATATTTTGATCAAAATAACATTTTTAGGCTTGAAGAAGAAAGTATGAACTCACCTCAACTAACCTTTGGGCCCAAACTAGTTTGGGGTTATTTTGAGCTATAGCCTTTAAAAGATCTCAAGAAACAAATTTGTTTCTTATTATTAGAATCCATCTTTATCTCCATTCATTCTTTCTACTAAATTTAATAAATCCTATGTACATTAGGTCTTTGTAACCATAATAAAAAAGAACCAAAGAAAAAAAAAAGTGAGAATCTTGTAGTCCTCGATCTTAATTAGCAAGGAAAGCTACAGAAAGCTCTAAAAGATTGGAGCTCCTCTAAATTGGGATGTTCTTTTCCTTGAGTATTCCATTTTCTTTGCTAACTTCATATATCACAAAAGGTACTCAAGTCTTCTTGAATGTGTCATTAGATAGTGAATTGATGATTAGAATCTCATAAATCCATTTGTGTGCATTTTTAATTAGAGGGAGCAGTAGTAAGATAATTTTGAGTTTCATAATCTCATATTTCTAATATGCTTGATTAAACTGTTTTCACTCTGACATTTAGAGTCAAGGAGTAATTGCCTTGTACAGCATTAGGGAGAAATTGGTCTTGTAGGAATATCTACAGACTTACCTCTTTCTTTCTTCTTTTGTTTTTTAAATATGCCTGAATTTTAATTCCCTTCAAAAGGAAGTGAATTTCTGTTTTCTTTTCTTGATTTTGCTTTTGTCTTGAAAGCATGTAGAAATTGGTCATGTAGAAGGAGGGTAGAATGCCAGATCTAAACATTTGCTTGCTATAGAACTAATATTGGAGCATTTTGCAATTATATGAATTCAGAGCAATTGGAAGTTAGCATCATAGATGAATAGGTTATGATTTAAAATTGAAATTATATGATTTATATTTCTCCAAGAATTGATGTGCTTTAACTTTATCATCTAACTTTTTCCTCTTAAGTGTCCTGCTTTTGGTGAGAAACCATATCTAACTTTTGAATTTTTTGGGTTTTTTGTGAAATTCCTCAGGCAAAGCCTTGTAAGAGTCTATGGGTTGGTGGTATTAGCCAAACTATTTCAAAGGAAGAATTGGAAGAAGAATTTCGCAAGTTTGGTAAAATTGAAGATTTCAAGTTCCTTAGAGATCGTAATACTGCATTTGTTGAGTATTTTAGAATGGAAGATGCTTCCCAGGCCATGAAAAGCATGAATGGAAAGCGAATAGGTAGTGAACAGATACGTGTTGATTTTTTAAGATCCCACCCTTTAAGACGAGTAAGTAAACACGTTTAGAATTTGAAGTCTGCTTTTAATAGTTAGAATTACTCATTTTCCTGTGCTTAACTCATCTCAAACCGTTTGTCCATTTCTTCCATGTATCTTGAAACACTCATTTTAAATGCTCTAATGTGCAGATAGTTGTGATACTGAATGAATTTTCTTCTCGATCCTGTTGACAGGAACAATGGCCTAATTCTCATGACCTCAGAGATGGACCTTTTTCTGGTAGGATGGGGCCTTCTGACGGCCATTCGATGGCAAAAAGGCCTGTGAGTTTTAAACCTTAAGCCTCTGTTGAACTATATTTTTCATAATTATTCTTCATTGTTCCTGCACATACATTTATGGCCTGACTTGAATTTTTTGCATTCTGATTTCTTGAATCACCTTTGCAGCATTCTCAATTAGGTGGCCGAAAAGGAGATGGTCAGCCTAGCAAAGTTTTATGGGTAGGCTATCCTCCCTCTGTGCAGATCGATGAACAAATGCTTCATAATGCCATGATACTGTTTGGTGAGATTGAGAAAATTAAGAGCTTTCCTTCAAGAAACTATGCCTTTGTGGAGTTCAGGAGTGTGGAGGAAGCTCGGCGTGCAAAGGAGGGCTTACAGGGTCGTTTATTTAGTGATCCAAGGATCACTATTATGTTCTCAAGTAGTGAACTTGCACCTGGCCTTTATTCAGGTCTAAAGGGGCCAAGGCCAGACATGCTCTTTAGTGATCAGCCATTTAGACCTACACAAATGGACATGTTTGGTCAAAATCATGCAGTGCTACCTAATACAGTATCTGGACAATTACCTCCTAGTGGCATTCTTGGATCAAATGTGGCAATCAGGCCTTTTAGTCATCAAAGTAGCTATGATCCTCTGCATTCAGGTCCAGAATACAATGATTTGTCTGCACATCATAATATGCAGGATGTTGATCCTAAAAATCACATGGGTCCAAATTGGAGAAGGCCTTCTCCTCCTCTCCCTTCTGCTCAAGGTTTTAGGCATCCAATGAGACAGGCATCTGGTACATGGGATGTTTATGATGTGAACCAACTTCAGAGAGATGCAAAGCGTTCAAGGATAGAGGCTTCATTTCCTATTGATGATGTTTCTTTTCCTTTAAGAAAGATCGATGATCTTGGGCCTGGCTTGGACCACTCATATGGGCTTGGGCAAGTAATTGTTGGGGGTGCTTCAGGTCCATTTGTTAATGTTCAAGGGAAGGGTCGTCTAAGTCCAGTGCCTGGAAAGGTCACTGCTGGTGGACCTGGACTAGCCTGTCCTGATAATGATTACATATGGCGTGGCATTATTGCTAAGGGTGGAACGCCTGTTTGTCAGGCTCGATGTGTTCCCATCGGAAAGGGGCTAGAGACAGAACTGTAAGTGTTTTTTACTTGTACATGACTTCTTTCCATGCAGATTTTGCATTTTGTAAAGGAAGTGCTCCATTCCTTGTTTGGTCTGTGTAGATTTCCTATATCGTTTCCTTTCAGTTTTGAATCTGTGGACATAGCATAGCAGATTGTGGTTTTACTTGATGTATCTTTTATAAAATGCATGTTGGACACATTCTTTTGTTTCATCCTGTATACTCTATCGTGAATATTCTATTGACATTGAAGAAGGGAGAATTTGAAGACATTCAGACACATGAGACACACCCGATGAGAAAGGGAGATAAAGTAGCTTAAAATTGGAGTGCCCTTTTGGAATCATTTTATGACACTCTTGTAGTTTGTTGGATAACTAAATTCCTCTCGGATTTCTTTATGGCCAATTTACATCTAACCTGCTAATTTGACATTTATTGGTAGTCCGCCTCTTTAGGTATCTCAGGGATCTGAGTGAAGTTTCTTATTTACTAAAGATTTTTCTTTGTTTTTCTCATTGAGGCATTGCCTAATAAGGTCCTTTTTTTGAAGGCTCACTTCCTCAAACTATGTTAAATTTGAGTTTGCTTTGTTGCAACTTCTGTGTTTGTTTTTGAATTCCTTCCAGTCAATTATAAGTTATGCTACTCACCGAATGTCCTGTTTCTTCAGTCCCGAAGTTGTCAACTGTTCAGCCAGAACAGGACTGGATATGCTAGCAAAACACTATGGTGAGGCCGTTGGATTTGATATTGTTTTCTTCTTACCGGACAGTGAAGATGATTTTGCCTCATACACTGAATTCCTACGCTACCTTGGTTCAAAAAACAGAGCCGGTGTTGCTAAATTCGATGATGGAATGACGTTATTTTTGGTGCCTCCATCAGAATTCTTAACAAAGGTTCTAAAAGTTGTAGGACCTGAACGGCTCTATGGTGTTGTTTTAAAGTTGCCTCCTCCACAGGTGCCAAGCACTACACCACTGCAACCGCGTCCACCTCTATTTTCTGATCCTGATTATAGTCTTTCACACTTGAAGGAAGAACAGGCTCTGCAGATGGAGTATGGAAGGGTTTTGCATGAGGACTCCAAACCTCCTGCAAGTCCACTTGGGCAATCTAACGTGCAAGGTCAACTACCCAGTAATGGGGCAGCACTGTCCCAAACTGGTGTTGCTTTAACACCAGATCTCATTGCTACTCTAGCCTCTTTTCTTCCAACAACCTCACATACTGCTGTTGTAAGTGTTCAGCCTCCATTAGTGACATCAACTGCACAGTCATTTGCTCAAACCACTGCACCTAAAGGAGGTGCTGGACAGATTTGGAATCAGGATCAGCAATCTTCTGAGTCTGCAGCCCCATCTTTCCAACAGTTTAATCCTCTGGCACAATTACCAACAGTTCAGCATTACTCATCTATATCAAGTACACCCATCCAATCTGCCCAAATGGTCCTTGGCAGCACTCAGTTTCAGGAGTCTGCTGTCAGCTTGCCACAACAAGGTGTTGCATCTGCAAGGTCAATGACTAATTTCAATATTCCCTCTCAAAGTGAACATGGTGCAGTTTCTGCCCCTATCAGCCAGCAGTTTCAGTCTGAAGTACCTTCCAATACACAGAAGGGCTATGGAATGATGCATGGAGCAGATGCTTCTGGGTTGTATGGTGCAGCAGCTTTTCAGCAGCCAAGCAATCCTCTTCTTTTGTCTAATCAGGTTCATGGTGCTAATGTTTCCCAGCCACAAAATGCGATGCAAGCTGACAGAAAAAATTTAGAGCCTCCTAGTCAAGTACATCAGCTGCAATCTGTGCTTTCTGGAGCTGGTCAGGTAACATCAGATGTGGAGGTTGATAAGAATCAGCGATACCAGTCAACGCTGCAATTTGCAGCTAGCCTTCTCCTCCAGATTCAGCAGCAGCAGCAACAGCAGACAAATACTCCTGGTGGACAAGGAGCGGGGAGTCAGCTATGAAATCTTCTTCAATCTAGGTAATTATTCCTGTCATAACTTATTTTCTTGAATGGATACATGCTTAACTGGTTCATTTAGGGAATGGTCTTGATTTTTGTTTATTATGTGATAATATTGACCATTATTGTCCTTCCTTTAGATATCTGCATATGCATTCTGAAAATTACGTATAGGAAGTCAAACCATTTGCATTTAGAACTTAGAAAATTTATGGGTAGTGTTTGGGGCAACTATTCATGGGGTTAGCCAGACCTTTTACTATTTTGAGAGTAGGAAATGGGGCATCAATATCAGAGTGTTTGGATGTTATGTGATGTAATGAGGTGCTTGGGATCTTTTTTATTGGTAAAAGTGTTTCAAGGTATCATGGCATTTTGAGAATGTTATGGAATTGATTGTGACAATAAGGATATGGGAGTCGACTTAATCTGATTTGTGCATTTGGAGAGTTTATTTCTAGGGTGACTTATTTACATCAGCCATCATGTCCTATATGTCATCGTATGGTGTTTGAAGCTGATTCCCTTTTCAGTTGGTGCTAAGGGACCGTGGAATCTCTAAAGTTGAAACTTTCTATTCTAGCATTTAGGGCTTTTTTGCTTGGATTGAGGATTCTTTTACTCTAATGCTTTTGTAGTATGTTAATTTGATTCTTTGCTTGTTTGAACTAGATTTGGGGCCTTAGTACAGGGTCAATATCATACTTTTTTATGCACTATTATTCTCAGCCTTTCCCTTGTGAGCCATGTGCAGATGGTTTTCTATTGGTTTTAGTACTTCTTAGATTAGGTAGGATGGTGATTATTTAATAGTTCAAGCTAGGATGAAGTGGTTTGATACGAGGCAGGAAAGCACTTTTGGTCTTTTCTTATGTTGGTTAAATACAAATGAATTGAGAACAGGGATGAGTGGAGTATTGGTGTCTCTTTCAGAAGTGTTGCCTTGTAAAATGTTTGGATACTTATTCCCATGGTAAAGGACTAAGTTGCAAGCTTTGTGGTTCTATCAAGAGGGTCCAGATTGATATAGTCTATAAAGTTGTTGGATAGTTAAGCAAATAATTGGTGCTTTGCTGGAGTGGCTTTTTAGTTGGGCTTGATCCTGAATTATCATATATTTTGAGTTTTCTTCACTGAGATTATGAGCGATTAACCAGCTTTAGCAAAGTATGAAGCTTTACTATTTGCTTATTTCACATTTCTTTCCAGTGCTTATAGATAGGCTTTTTTTTTTTTTGGGGGGGGGGGGGGGGGGGAATAAATTATAGTATATAGATAGTTGGTTCGATAATTAGTTATATTCCTTATTGAAGCTGAGTACATTTTGTATAGACATGTCTTCTGCATGTTGTGTTTGATGTTTAATATTTTTTTCCTATCCGTTATGTCTGACGCATTAACTGGTTGTTTTAAGCATTAACAAGTTCTGATTTTGCTGATTCTTCACTATTTTATTTTCTTTGTAGATGTTATTACTGTATGTTTTTCTCTGCAAGTAGTATATGTTAGTTGTTTTATTCTTTTGTTTGCAAGCATTATTACTATTATTTATTATTTCATCTACACTAGTATCATCTTATTGTTGCAATGAATTTGAAGCTTTTTGTTGACTTGTTTGCACTTCTAACTAGACAATAGGATAAACCTTTCTCAGAATTCTTAAAATGTAAATATTATGGGATTCAAATTTGTAATTTTAGTTTCTAAAATGGAGTTTTACTAAATTTGAAACACTTAATGTCGAAATGCTAAAAATGTTTCTTTCACTCTCATGTATTTACGGTTAACTCTAGGTGCAAGCAAGTCTTTAACTGTGTCGAGTGCGCTCTTAAAAAAAAATCCAACTTATACTAAATTCAGTACCCTCAATAAGTCAAAATTAAAGAGCTAGAAGCTTTGTTGAATATATAAGTTTATGAAGGTTAAATATGTTAAATTAAAGATGTTTCTTTATCGTCATCATCTTTATCTCAAAATTTCTGAAAGCCACAAATTTCAAATTGTAAAAAATTCGTAAAAACAAACTACTGCCATCCAAATTGACATGCCTAACAATGTTTTCAGGGGACTAGAATTCTTTGCTGATGATGTGACAAGAGTTTGGATACTGATTTAATTTTTATAGCATGGAGTGTCAGCGAACTAACAGAAAATTAGTCGGATAACTAGAAACATAATATGTCAACACACTATGAGTCAAAACATTTTAATCTCACTTAATACAGTTGCAATTAGTTTAGAATAGCAGCTTCTAATCTGCACTTAAATTGATTAGGAATGGTTGGTTTAACGAATCAAAATGATGAGTAATTCATGTTGTCCTCTAGTATTATTCCAAAAGTTGGTGACTCTTTTGTTTTTGTTGTTGTCCAGTCAAATGCTCCATCCTGTCTTTAATTTAATCTATTTGCATTAAAGAAATAGAAAAAATTTCTGTTCGTTCACATTTGTCCAACATTTTGATCTATCATGACCTTTGGATAATTTAGATCGTTTATATCAGCCTCGATTGAGTTTCTAGTTCATAGAGAAAGGAACAATGTTGTGAATCATTCAGAGAATTTTCATTTCCTATAATCCCATTGCTTAGGTCTTAATCCCATGGTATATTATGTGGCTTGTGGTGGAATTATTATACTTTAAAACCTACAAAATCAATTGTAGTTTTTATTTATAGTTAGAAATGAAAATCTTTTCAAACTGATACATGTTTGGCGCGATTATATTTGATTATATTTGTTAGCCTTGCTTTAAAAAAAAAGGAAAAATAATTTCATGGTATAGAAAGATATCGTTAGTGTATGTAATCGAAAATCTGGATTAAGGTTCTGTATTTAGCTTCTCCAAGATGTTAAAGTTATCCGTTGGACATGACTGAGTTTTCTGGGCATTTGATTAGGATTGCGCATTTCATGCCAAGAATGTTAAATTTTGATGGTATAATTGGAAGACCTTGTCAAGAAAAGAGATTGAACAATCTTTCTTGGATATCTAAAGCAATTCATTTCGAGTTATGGTCCGATGAGTTTGGCTAGTTTGCATAAAAAAGTAAAACTTTATTAAATGGACAAATCTCTAATGTTCTGTAACTTCTGTCATCTAGCTGTGAGTTGCATTAATCTTAATTAAGTACACTTGTACATACATATATTAATACATACATTTAAATCGTTCATGTTTTGTTTCATTCTTTCTTGTCATCGTTTAAATGGCTTAAAGTGTTAATCATTTGAACCAAAATTTCACAGTTTTGTTGGCCAAACTTAGAGATTTTTACTTACTTCAAAGTTTAATCACCCACCGAGCCGAGCTCAGGTATTCTTGATACGAAAATGTCAACAGATACAAGAAATTTATAACTATAGCAGGGTTCATGACTTACTAACAACCACAACTTGAGTGCGTGGAAAACTTGGCGGATATGGTTTTAACAATTATATATATATATATATATATATTTTGTTTAGGTAATACCATTAGATTCGAGTGTAAATAAGCAGCGTTTTATGAGTTTATCAGACAATCAAAATTCGTTAAGTAAATAAATAAATCAAGAATACAACAAAATTTGTTTATATTTGGTTTGTAGAAATAAAGTGTAAAGCGATAGATGACTAATTTAATAATTTATTAATATATTTTATTTTTGTTTATTTATGTTTATTTATTAAATTTAATAAATGATGTAAATAGTTTTTTAAAATTTATTAATTAAAAAAAAATCACTAACGTATCAAACTTTATTTATGTTGGATTTATTTAAGAATATAACTCATCAATGAAAATATGAACTAAGTTTTAAGTCAAACATTTTTTAATGTTATTTTGTTAATTTTTCTACGGTCTGGTAATTCAAAAACTCGAAATCGTATAACCTACTTAAATCATATATATTAGCTGACGAGTAAGTTGAAAAGTGCTTGTATATTTTATTGGGAGGTCAGATGTTGTCATATCATATTTGTATTTTCTTGCTACTTCTTATTCTGTCAAATAAAATCGAAGTTAATTTTTTTTTCTCAATTCTCAACATTACAAGGTATGTGACCTTTTTATTTTTGCATTGTGTAGGTAAATTCGAGCTGTTTTCATTGAAAACAACGCCTGCCTATCAAAAGTCATTGACGTGAATTTTTTATTATTAACTTTTTGTTTTTGGGAAGAAAAGTTGACGAATTGCAATTTGCATGAGAATGGATGTAGTTTCTTTAACGTCTATCAACTCCAAGTAATCGGTTATTTGATTAGTTGTTTCATAATAAGGATGTACAAATTGGTTTTTTTTTTTTTTTTTTCTTTTTTTTATAATTTTCTTTCAGATCACTTTTGTCAACAAATATTGTTCTTAATTTATTCATGTCAAATATTTTAACTCATAATTTCTGTTTAATTATCTCTTTTTTTATTTTTAAATAAGATTTTTTAAAAAAAATTGATAATTAAAAATACAAAATAATAATATGATATGAATAAAATATAAAAAATAAATATAATATAATTTAAAATTTTAATAATAATTTAATAAATTTTATATTTTAATGATGATATAAATTATAATATATAATTTTTATATAAAATATAATATAAATTTATGAATTTTAATATTTTATATGATATGAATTAATGAATTATCAAGTTTATTTCTCTCAATGAAGAAGAAAGTTAAAATCGTTTACTATATTAAAAATAGAAAATGTATGCCTATTCTTTATGTAAAACCAAATTCTTTCTTTAAAATGAAAATAGGTATGCCTATCCTTTGTATAAATGCTGCCTAACCTTTATATAAACGTTGCAATTGTATAGATCAACAGGATGTTGCTCAGTATGTCACATGTCGCAATCCTATTGGTTTTTTTATTATTTTTTTTACATTTTTAACTTTTTGTTAAAAATTTTTCTTTGAAAAGCAAATGTACGGATTGCATTGGCTTTTCCACATGTCACTGTCGTTATAATATTAGTTTTTTTTTTTTTTTGTTTTGTTTTCCTTCTTTTCATTTTTTCTTTAAAAAAATTAAGAAATTTTTAAAAAATTATAAAAAATATATTTATAAAATTATATTTTTGTGAGTGAGACCTATTATTACTATTTTTTTCTACCCTTTTCGATTTTCATTTTAAAAAAAGTAATTAAGGTTTTTTTTTAGTACACTTAAATTATATACGATTTACAAATTTTTTTTTTACTATTGCATGTCATTTTTTTTTTTTTAGGTTTCGTTTTTGTTCCTTTATTTTTTAAAAAAATTATTTAAAAATACATTTAAAAATTATAAAATTATATATATTTTTAAGAATTTTTTTTTTGTTTAAGACCTACATATATCAAATTTGATCAATAAATGAGTTTCATCAATATATACATACATATATATATATGTATGTACACATTTTGTAAGCTTTGATTCTATAAGAAAATGGGTTTGAATTTGATAATTAATCAATGTGGTAATATGTAAATAGTATATTAATAGATTAGATTGTTATATATATATATATTATTAAATTTTGATTTAATTTATATATATTTTAAAGTAATTTATTTTATTTAAAATAGAAGATGATTGAGCATAAAATTTTTTTTTCAATTGATTATAGTTTTCAAAAAAATTTAAAAACTATCAAAACACTAAAAAATATTTATTTATAATTATTAAATAAAAAATTCATATAATTTATTTTTCACCAAATAAAAAAATTTGTAATCCGATTGTAACAGATTGTTTTTCTAGTAATATATTATAAAATGGTTTCTTTGCAATTTATAAATACTTTAATAGTAATATTAGTAATACTCATAAATAAATGAAAATTTGATTATTTAAATAAATTAAAAAAAGATTTTATGGTTATTTTAAAATATAAAAAAACAAAATAAAACATTTATTCGTAGATGAAAAAACTGAAAAATAAATAAATGGAATTTAAATTTTAAATTCTCATTCTACTTAAAAAAATGAAATTACTATTATAATTTATTGTTTAATTAAATTTTAATCACTTAACTTGTGACATCAATTGGATTAAGGATTTTGTTATTTTAGTAAGCATAGATATATACAGTTCTCTTTATATAATTTTTTTTAATAAAAAATCTAAAATATATGTATTTGCAATCGATGAATCAAACATCAAAATAAGCATAAGAAGTATAAATAATATATTAATATTCCTAAATTATTTAAATTTAATTTATATAAAATTTAAATTTAAATTAATTATTATTAAATTAAATTCAAATTCAATCACTTTAATTATTTAGCAAATTATAAAATATCTTAATATTCTATCAAAATAATTGATTAACTTAATTAATTTTTTATATTTTAATATATAATTTTATTTTTATAATTAAAAAATATTATTATTATTTTATATATATAAATTCAAACTCAAATTTAAATTTTAATATAAATAATCGAACTTAAAATTTAACCCGATAATTTTTTTTAACAAACCTAATCCAGAAGTTTATATAATTCAACTTTTATCTTAAATGAGTTTGAAAATTAAAATTCGATGAAACGCAAACGGAGTTTCCAGCACAAAATTTCAAGTGGAGTTCGTGCTTGAGCTTTCTACTGTACGGACTCCATTGACTCGATTACACCGTATGGATTGCACCCCTGACGAGCATCAAACCTTCATCAACATTGGAACCGAGTCCATAGTAAACTGAACAACTCTCTTTCTTACAACAGCAGAGACCAGACACATGCACTGTTGATTTAGTGAGAGAAAGTTGTGATTTTTGATGGAAAGAGAGGTGGGATTGGATGGGTTAGAAGATTTTGCTCTCCACATAATTTTATCAAAATTAGGTCCAGCTGACACTGTCAAGGTTTCATGTGTCTGCAAAAGGCTTAGACTTTCTGCTTCTGAGGATTCTCTTTGGGCCCTATTTTGTTTCCAAGATCTTCATCTTTCAACCCCTCAAGATCATCAAGGAAACCCTGCTCCTTCTTTCAAGGTAATTGGATTTTTCATAACAATTTCCAAAACCCACTTTTTCATCTATTCATTTCTTGGGGTTTTTTTAGTTATTCTTGATTTTCTATGCATGTTTGTGTTGATTGTTGTGGCTGTACTTCTTACTGAATTGGGAAAAAAAAAGTTTTCTGGGATCTGAGGCTAAAATTTGGAATCTTTAGAAGAAAAATGTAAAATTTATTAGGAGGAAAATCTTGTTTCTATAGGGTTGGATAGTGAATACATAGTATGTTACTAATCAATTTGAAAGCTCTAAAGAAATGTTTAATTTGCTTAAGATTGAAAGTGTCTAGATGATTGAATTCCATCTAGAATGCTTTTTATCTTTGTCTGTGTTTCTTTTTTCCAGGCAGCTTATCAATTATGGCGAGAGGCTTTTGCTATGTATCCATGGTCACTTGTTAAACGAGTTAAAAGATGTTGGGACAAGCTTAAAAAATGGTTGAGTGACAATTTTCCGGAGGCTGGGGCTACACTTAGAAGGGGTGCATCTGAATCTGATATTCAACAATTGCAGACACTTTTTAAAGTTAAATTGCCTCTTCCCACTAGGCTTCTCTATCGTTTTCATGATGGTCAAGAACTGACGGATAAAGAGCACTCACTGGGAATTATAGGTGGCTACTCTTTCCCTCACCATTTGGTTAATGTCTACTTGTTACCCATAAGTCAGGTCATAATGGAAACAAGAGGGTTCATACATCACCTAGGTTTTTTTAGCAGATCTAAATACATCGTTATGGCTGCTTCTTCTACTTCTTACACTTATACTGAGAAGTTGTTTTTCTTAAACTGTACCAATGGCCAACTTTATGTTTGTACAAGGAGCCATCCTACGGATGGAGAAATGATTGAATGTGTCCCAAATGCTCTGGTTCGTTCTGTACATGATTTGCATGGTGATCAGCAGCAAGATGCCATGCTGCTGTGGTTAGAAGAACACGGTTGCCGCTTAGAAAATGGCATTATTAAAGTTCGTGAAGAACGAAATGTCCGAAGTATCAGTCTATTTCCAGAGGTTCCACCCCAATGTTCCACTGCTGTAACAAATGGTGTGCAGGTAATTTTATGCACAATACTTGTGCATGGGTTACTTCTTCTGGTACTTTTTTCTTTTGAATGTTTTTTCACTGAATTTTTTAGAATTAGTGTGGGGGTGGCTAGCTGAGTTCAGTGTCTACCAGTTGTGGGTGACTAAGCAAAAAAATTTCTGGTTATTGTATTTTGCTATCCATATTGGAAAGTATATAGTAATTTCACCTTTTAGGGGCAGAGGGTCTTACCTCCTTGGGGTTGCTTCAAGATGTACCTCCAAGTGAGCCTATGAAAAGATGCATATTTTCCTATAACTAAACAATGCTCGGTTTGGATGCTAAAAGCTGAGTGAGAATTTACCATTTCCTTCTTGATAGATTGCAAAGGAACTTGATGTCTGAGAATAAGTGAAGTTGGAAAAGCTTAACTTTTATTCTTCTCAAATTTTAATCAGTGTTGCATTTTGAAGAATTCTCTTTCTTTCTTGTCAGCTTTCTATCTGATATCAATAGTTTTAATTCTCTTTGCTCTAGTTTTTTTGCTTTTTGTGATTCTAACATAGATGATTTGATTACTAAAAGACCTTTTTGTGCTTTTGATGGAGTGTTCTCTTTCTTTTCACTGTTATAAATTTGCTTTTACCCCTATGAGTAACAGTGTTGCGGTCTGCTTCATAATGGTACTAACAAAGTATTTTATCTGCTTCAGGTTCGTGCTTCTGCTGTGTTTGTTCCAGAATTTGCTGAGCCGGAAGCTGAGAAGTACTGGTTTGCTTATTCAATCCGTTTGTCCCTCTTGCCTGAGGGGTGCATCATTAATGGAATGACCTTCAAGTCCTGCCAACTGAATTGGAGGCACTGGATCATTCGTGCTAATGAAGATATTGTATTTGATGTTAATGGAGAGGCTGTCATTGGAAAGGTAATGACATACCAATTTCTCTTGTTTCAGTGTTTCCTACAGATACTGTGCCTGACAATTTTGTTTTCTGCTGTAAAGAATGGCAATTGATCATTAATTGGGATCTAGTTTAAATCCCATGGGAAAAATATAGTGGAGGGGATTTAGCTGTGAGTTATCCTTTGTCATGTTGATGCATCATTTTGAGTTCTTTATTCTGTTGCTGAAGCATTACATTTGTATTCCGGTATACGTCATAGGGTTTAGAATCTATTGTGATACAAAAATTCAACAGTTCAACGGGTGAGAAATTAATCATCTCAAAGTTTAGAATTGTCTTACTTTTTGTTTTCAAGGATTATGATTCTCTTTGTTGGCACTTGACAGATTATTAAACAGTCACCTTTCAATCGCTACTTGACAATCACTTAAGTCTGTAAATCTATTTTCAGGAACCTTTGCAGGAAAATGAGTAAAAGAAATGTGCTTTCCTGGGAACAAAATGTTTTGCTTTCTCATGATTTTTCATATCACATAAAATTCTGTATAAGTTTGAAGGAGAACTGAACACCTTGAAAGAGTGGGAGAAAAACTATAGTTTTTCCCTTCTTTTCCTTTTGCTTAATTTTCCTGATAAAAAGTAGCCTTATCCGAAAATAAGCTGTTGAAATGATGCAGCTTTACTGGATTTCTTTATTAGTGAGCTGCATGAATGATAAAGATGGAGGCAGTAAACTAGGTAACCATCATGACACGAAAGGAAAAAGTCTCCTTTTTGCTTGCATCTTTTATACTTTGAAGAAATTCCATCTTATTCTATCGACTATGACTAGACCTATGTAGTTTTTATTGTACATATATTATTAATATGAGTAATTGAGTCTCTGACATATGCTATAAATCTCATTTTTTATTGTGTGCTTGCAGTTCCCTCTGTTGCATCCTGGCGAAGATGAATTTGTTTACGAGAGCTGCACGTCTTTACCATCTTCTTCAGGTTCTGTCGAAGGTTCTTTCACATTTGTCCCTGGCAGGTATTCTGCACAAACTTTTAATTTGTTAAAGTCTATGTTGATGAATTATACTACCTTTGACTAACTGTCTAGTCACTAATGTTTTAACTTTACATGTGATGCCATCCTAGAAATCTGTTGAGAAGAAACGGAATGATAATTACATAACAATTTATATCTTACAGAATTGTTTGTTGGTAAAGAAAAGCACAAACTGCAAGCAATTCCTGCCTGAAGTGTTAAGAGTAATGTAGACGTGGCATAGGAAGTGTACATGTGGTTGATTGTTGGTTTTGGCAACAGCTTAAAAATTCTCCAAATAGAAGAGTAAATAATTATTGATGGAGTATTAGAGTCCGGTATACCCACCAAATCGCATAGGTTTTACTTATGCATATCCGTACTAGGATGCGTATATGTGATTCTGCATGTAATCTGATCTGGATCTGTATTGTTCCCTCCCATAGTTTAATTGTCCTTTTCTTTTATATATTTTTGGGTTGTTTCTAAGATATTGTTTGCAATCAAAAGTTAAAGCTACTCTATAATAAATCTTTGTTCCCTGTTACAATGTTATTTACTAGAATAACTCGACCTCGTTTTCTTTTCCCTCTTCCCCCCCTGCATGGAGAGCAAAGAAACTTTGTAAACTGTTGCTCTTCTGGTTGTTCCTGGTAGGTTGGTGGACCCGAAAGGCAGTCCATTTGAAGTTCAAGTGGCACGGTTCCGTCTGCAGCAGCCGGATTATGTTTTCTGACAAACACTTGTATGGTCTTTAGGCCATTGATATGGCAGATGTTGTATCTGTTAATATAAATATGGAAGGCTTGTTCGAATGTGTGAACTTAAACCCCTTTTGCTCTTTATACATTGCCTGATTGCTTATCCTGAAACTGTGAAACATTTTTTATATGTTACCCTACTCGCGATTGTGAATTGAATGGCTCTTGGTTTATATACTAGGGTGTAATTACGAATGGAATTCGATTTGATAATGAATAAGTCTGAGTTTGAATTTTTTTTTTTTAATTAAGTTTAAATAGTTTATCAACAGTTTGATTTTTTTGAATCGAGTTCGAATAATTTATGAGTAATTTAATTTAATTTTTTAATCAAATTCAAATAATTTATGAATAGTTTGATTTTTTTAAGTCAAAGTTCAAATAGCTTATGAGTAATTTAACTTGATTATACATTTAATTAGAACTAAAATTAATTCTGAAGCCTGATTTATTGTTCGCCAATTTCATTTGGACCAATAAACAAACTTTGATAAAAATTAAAAAATCATCACCATCAAGTGGGTCCCAAAAAAGCACACTCATTCCTATACTCGGAGAACACCCAAATAATTCCCGTTTTGCTTTCAGTCATGTTTAGTAGCCAGCACACGCTTATGGGTTTAGATTTTACTGTACTTTTAATGCGTCGTAGTTGAGATCAGATTTTGATTTTTTCTTCGGAAAAGAAATGAGCATTATATTATATAAATAGAGATGGATATAGTTTTAAATTTTATTGAATATGAGAATAAAGATGAATAATATATTATTTGTTTTTATCTTATATTTGCATTTTATATATGTTTTTATATATTTAGTAAATAATTTTTTATTAAATAATATAAATTATTATTTTAAATTAATTAAAATTAATATATTTTTATTGAAAAATATATATTAATATATATTTATAAAAAATTATTTAAATATACAAGATAAACATAAAAAAATTAAAAAATAATTTTATTTTTATTTTTAAAAAATTAAAGGTATGAGGATTATTCATATTTATTAAATATTCATAAGGATAAAAATAAATTTAAAATATTTATTAGATATGAGTTTAATAATAATATAATATAAAAATCTGAAAATAAAAATGAAAAATATTTTATCCTATTCATATTTTATTTATTGACATATGTATGATTAATTATAATTATAATAAAAAATTTTAATTATAAATATAATAATTTATATTATTATTTTTAATCTCATCAATTAGACCCTCAATTAATCTCCATACTCAACAGTTAACGCTTGTTTACAATTTTCCAGCATAAACAATAGTGTACCTCAGGACAACCAAGTGATTAAGTGCTTTTTCAGGACATTTTTTCCTATCTCAAATGTACAACACAAAATTTCAACATTTGTAAAGACACTCCTTTTTTTCTTCTCTACACTTATTTTTCTTTAAATTATCTTTAAATATAATTATTTATTTGTTTTTACTCATTTTAATTTTAAAATTTTCTGATATGCATATTTAAAAAATTTTATAACTTATAAAATTTTTACTTATTGAATTTTTATATCCAGTAAGTTAAATTTATAATTTAAAAAAATAAGTTGTGAAAAAAATCTTATATCTTAAAAAATTTTTACAACATTATAAAAAAAGCATGATTTTTTAAAATAATTATAAGTGATTTTCAAATTGATAAAAAAATTATGCATGTAAATTTTTTGATTTTTTCTTAATTTTAAAAGTTTTTGGATTTATAAATTTGAAATTTTTAAAAAGTTTTTGAATATATAAATCAAAAAACTTAAAAATTAAAAAAAATTTATTTAAAAATAATTTTAAAAAAAGTGTTAAGAGAAAAAAAAATAGTGTGTTTAAACTTTAGAAAACCAAAGAAATATTAAAAATGGCAGAAAAAAAAATAGTTTTTTTAAAAATTTTCCGCTAAGGCCTAAAGCTCTTTCCCTTCGTTTCTCATGTAATTTCCTTCGTTCGGTTCAATTCTCCTTTTTGTAAAAAGCCTGTCGTCGATTCCTCTCATTTCCTTCCTTTTTTCCCCCCCTTTCTCAGTGATTGCCTTCCATTTTTCTCATTTATTTAATTAGAAGACCTAGTGCTATATTTTCTTCTTTTTTCCCGGAAAATCTTCCTTTGCTTTTGCTGTTGTTTCCCATTTTCTTCACCAAATGCTCAGTTTTTTCTTTTACATAATTCCCTTGTAAAGATCAGGCCCTTGTTTGTTTTTACACCGCTTTTTCTAGTATTAGATCTTTGCTCTCCGTAGGGTTTCATTTCTGCCCAGTTTTTACTTCCAATAATATAAAAATTTGACTCTAATTCTAGGGTTTCCTTAGTTTTCGGGTATCATATATTTTCCTAAAATGGAAAAGGATAAATCTCCAGGCTTACCGCCACCGTCAGGTAGATTTTCAAATGCTCCAAACGCTTTCAATTTGAAACATGAAACGAATCGTTTTAGTCATGATATCAGCAAAATGCCTGATAATCCACCGAAGAACTTAGGTCACCGCCGTGCCCATTCCGAAATCCTTACTCTTCCTGACGACATTAGCTTCGATAGTGATCTCGGCGTCGTGGGGGCAACCGACGGGCCTTCGTATTCGGACGAAACAGAGGAAGATTTATTGTCTATGTATCTTGATATGGATAAGTTCAATTCTTCTTCTGCCACCTCAACGTTTCAGGTCGGTGAGTCGTCTGCGCCGGCTGGTCCAGCTGCTGCTCTGGTGGCTGCGGTAGGTGGGGAAAATGTGAGTATTGATGTTGGGTCTTCTGAGAAGCCTAGAGTTAGGCACCAACATAGCCAGTCGATGGATGGGTCGACGAGTATTAAGCCGGAAATGCTTATGTCTGGTTCGGAAGAGGTTTCACCTGCTGATTCTAATAAGGCTATGTCCGCTGCTAAGCTTGCTGAGCTTGCTCTTATTGATCCCAAGCGTGCTAAGAGGTATTCTTTTTTCTTTTCATTTCAAATCCTTAGATACGCTTAGTAATATTGTCAGCTTCTTTAATTATGAATTCAGTTAAAAGATTATGTTTTAGAAGGAAGGTTTGCGTTTTTTGAAGCAAGTAGTTTGGGATTTTACTTTTTCCTATAATTATTATTTTAATGACAGACAAGTTTACTTTTTATGAGTTTGGTTATTAGATTTTGGAATGAAAGTGTGATGTAACTCATGACAGATAAGAGTTATATGGGTGCGTTACATGTTAGTGAAGGAATCATGCTCCACGTAATGTTGTAAATCTAAGAATTAATCCTTTTAGTGTCAGGTTGGGACCAGTTACATAAAGATTTAATGGCAGAGAGACTATGAAACTAGTGCAATTGCCTATGCTATAGTTGATTTTTTTATCTCTGCATGTTTGTGTCTCTTGATAATTCTCCTCCAATTTCTTTTCGTCCATATGTTTTTTGTTTTGACACCACCTTTTCTTGTATTTTCCATGTAATAGGATCTGGGCAAATAGGCAATCTGCTGCAAGGTCAAAAGAAAGAAAGATGAGATATATAGCTGAGCTTGAACGGAAAGTACAGACGCTGCAAACTGAAGCAACATCACTCTCTGCCCAGCTGGCTCTATTACAGGTAGTTGCATCAGCTCAGTACCTTCTCCTTGTGTGTTTGTTAAATGGTGTCCAGATCCAAGGGTTCTGTTGGTTATATAAATATATATTTATTCCTGCAGACCTTCATTTTTTTTTATTTTTACTTTTATGTTTTTGTGTTCTTTTTATTTATTTAGATCTAATGATTCATTCATTTGACTCTTCTCTTGCTAACTTATGGACAGAGAGATACCAATGGTCTGACTGCTGAAAATAGTGAGTTGAAACTGCGGTTGCAAACAATGGAACAACAGGTTCACTTGGAATACGGTGAGCACCTCTTGAAAACCTTTCTTTAAATGCCAATCTCTTTGCTTTATTGCTTTTTCTTTCCTTATTATTTTTTGTCTGTTTTCCTCCTCATCTTAATGGAGAGACATATTATGGGCTCTATGATATTTATGATGGTTGGACAGATTTTACATGTGAGAATTTGGTTGGATAGACACTTGGAGAGAGATAAAATTAGATTGAAGCTGCAACAAGTTGGATTTGTGTTCTTTACATACATACCATTCTAGAAATTCAATAGTAGGGGAGGGGGGGGGGGCTGTGTGTATGGAGGGAGTGAGAGAGGAAGAGAGAGGTCTGCATGTTAGTCTTTCTTATCGCAAGCTGGGGGCTGGTTCAAATACTGGTACAGTAGGCATTTGGTCCCTGAGATACTACCCATCGTTTTAACATCCTGTAATTTTGTCCTAAATTTATTATATCCTGATATGGATCTTATATTTTAGCAAAGAGATAGTATTTTTGGGAACTTCTTCTTGCTCCTAATCTATCATCATAAGAGTGCAATACGATGCTTCTCAGGCTTGAAAATGTTTTGGAGCAACAATTTTACCTTTTGCAAATACAGCATTTTGTCATATGTTAGAAAATGCCCTTTGATGATACGATTAACAATGCTCTTAAAATAGATGTTTCAATGCTAGGATTATATATGTGCTTAAATTGTTATTTGGAGTCAACTGTGAATACCTGTGAAAAAAGAACAGGAATAGTATTTGATTGAATTGAAACATTGATCTTATCTCTTACTTTTTTTTTCTCTTAAACATGAAAAGGTTCATTACTGATAAAAATCATGAGTAAATAATTGTTTATTGGCTTTGGTCCAACTACACCTTCGTAAATGCATTTAAGTACTTATGCTGCTTATTCCCTCGTTTGTCATGATGGAGAAAACTGGCCAAGATTTGAGATTATGTGGCCATTACTATGGATGTCAGCATTTATCTGTATAGGGTCAGTGGTCACTGTGCAAGACTATTTTATCTTGGCTAGACTAGAACAAGCTGTATGCAATTGATTACTTGGTTGGGAATAGGGTTTGAGACATTTGAGATACTGGGGGTTGGTATGTGGTATAAATGCCATACGAATTGGGATAGTAAGATATGATGGAATTGAGTTGGTTTTTATTACTTTATTAGTGACATTGTGCTAGTAATGGTAAGTATTTGTCACATTAATTGTTAAGCTATATTTTGGGCCTAAAGAAAGAAGAGGGTAACTCATGAGCTACGGTTTGGCAGTTTGGAGGTTGATGAGATAAGTTACCAATTCCTTAAAATTTCTAAATAGTTGGGTTGTCTCTGATTTTGACATTGAGATTTGAAACTCCAAAGATGGATTTTAATGGTTAGGTATTTGATGTCACTTCACAACTTGAATAATATCAAACTTAAACAAATACACATATTTTGAAGGATTCTAAGACTCTTAATTGTAATTCGAGTTGGACTCCAGTCAGAAGCGGATTATTTTTTATTGTAATTTGCAGCTTTTATATGAATTATCATTTCTTTTATTTGAGATTCTATATTAATTGTTTTGTCTCCATGGGTTGTGGATGCATTTAGCAGTTGGGAGCAGATAACATAGCTGATTTAGGATATTAGTGTTTATGTATATGTTAGTTAATGGATCAACCATGTGATTCTGTTATGTTTCTAATTCAATTTTTACTGAAGGCATTACTTTTAGAGGAAATAAAATTCACTGTTTATGTTGAAATTGTATTTAGGGTGTATTTGAGCGGGCTGAGTTGAAAAAGTGCAAACCTTAGCTTGGGCTTGGGCTTGGGCTTGAGCTTGAGCTTGGCTTGAGCTTGAGCTTGGCTTGAGCTTCACTTAGTTTCATTATTCAAATTTGGGCTCTGCTAACAGTTTGACTTACTCTATCTTGACGCCATCAGGCTCACTTAAACTTGATGAGAGAAATACTTGACCTCGTTCCTTGTGGTGTCGAGCTTGTCTTGTGCTCTATCAAATCAAGTGTTATAACAAGTGAAGAGTATTTCTTGGAGCCTGCAAGTACCCCAATTACAATATTTCCCTTAGATATTCATATTTAACTGATCTTATGGGATTCTCCTAGCTGTGCGCCTTTTGTAAACATGTCTTATACTTACAGTACCTGAGATACCTCTGTGTGTATAAGGATGTTATTTATTATTCAATGTTATTGAATGGCTCTCAAAGTAGGTTTTCAACTTTTGGATTGCATATCAGTTTGGAATATATAAATGCTTCTTGTTCTATCATGAGCACCCCACTTATGTTTGCGCTGCTTTTATTGTTGCCCATATTAATGATGTTTTCTCTGTTTTTCTTATTTGATAGCTTTAAATGATGCACTGAAAGAGGAAATCCAGCATCTGAAGTTGCTGACTGGCCAATCTATGCCAAATGGAGGACCAATGATGAACTTTGCATCTTTTGGAGCTGGTCATCAGTACTACCCAAATAATCATGCTATGCATTCTCTTCTAACAACACAGCAGTTCCAGCAACTTCAGATTCACTCGCAGAAGCATCAGCATCAGTTCCCACTACATCAATTGCATCAGCTTCAGCAGCATCAACTGCAACAGCAAACAGGGGAGATGAGAGTTAGAGGATCCGTGCCTTCCCCCAATCAGAATGATGGTTCATCTGATGTCAGCTCAACCGCGTCAAAGGATTGAGGAGTTAGAGGCCCATAGTGCCAGGTATTGATGGGTCTTTGCTGTTGTTCAAAATCTAGGTTGCAACCCATCATTAGATAGGACGGATTTCTTCATTTCATTTGTTTGTTCACATCTCTTCAGGCGTTTCTATATAACATTTATGTCTAGGTAGTTATATTTAAATTATAGTTGAAGATTGAACTAAAAGATATATATAATATCATCTGGTATACAACAAATAAAAAAAATTTAGTTCTTTCATGTTCGGCTCATTCACTGTTGATGCCATGATGAACTGATCTTCAAGTTCAAGGTGAACAGAATGATTAGTAGAATCTGGTTGTCCTAGAGTTTGATAGCTGCTACTAGTCAGAGTCTGCACCATGTTTAGATCTTGATTTTCTTGATCATCAAAATTCCCAAAATTCTGTTGATAGATGGTTAGAGCTCTACATCCATTCCATTCATCAGTGTTGGCTTGGCTTGGCTTGGTTTGCTTTAGGTTACTCTCTCAACAGTCAACACAAACTTTCTTAGCAGTTGGAATTGAGAGATATCGACATCTCTCCATCATTGACCTATGAGATTTTACACTTCTTCGTTCTTGGATTCTACTTCATATCTTTCGTCTTCATCTCGCAAATAATATGATCATTGAAAATGTAGTGGCTTAAAGGAAAATGCATTCATCCTTGTCTTATGCTTCGATAAAGCCAATATCCATGCTCAGCACTACTGTCAATTCATGATTTACGATTCTTCAATTTGGTGAAAACTTGTCGAAAAATAGTCCAATGCTCTTTGTTTTTACCGTGAATCTCACTTATTCTAACTGCCCGTTTGGTGCGATTGAATTTATCACATCATCAGTTATCAATTCTAGTGAAATTTATTTAATATAAATTTTTTATTAATCACAGTTACAATAATTTTTTTTTCAATCGTGAATATAATAATATTATTATTATTTTCAATCTAATCACAATTAATTTTATCGTCCATATAAAAGAAGCTTTGTCTTCTTTGAAAACTCAGGAAGAAAGGGTTAAACTTGCTTTTTTCTAGTCGGTTCCCTTCTATTGCATGGGGTTACTAACAATGAACTAACGTGAACTCCAAAAAGCAATCCCCTGAAAGTTTCATAGATGAACTCGGCTTTCAATACCAAAATTCAAGTCAAAACCTTTATTATTCTGAATTTCCATAGCTTTCTATTAAAGCCTGGAAAAACAAGACAAGTTTCATTGAGACTGATATCTGTAATGAATTCAGCACCCAAAATCGGTTCGCTGATGAAGAAGCTTGGACGAAGCAAGCCCAAAAATTCCTACAATCGGATGGAAGAGGCTGAGGACGCCAAAACCCTTCGAGCTCGAAGAGGGTACGTAGCAATGTACGTGGGGGTAGAGGCAAAGAGATGCGTAATTCCTATCAAGTATCTGTCTTCTCCAGCGTTTCATGAACTGCTTATCCCATCGCAAGATGATGATCTTGAAACCAAGATTGATGGGCCTGTTACGATCGCCCGCACATCCGAGAGGTTCGAACAGATGTTGAAGGTTGCCTAGCTCCATTGATATGAAACAAGTTTTGCCATGCAACCCAACAAGAAGATTGCCAGGAAAAAGATTGAGAGTTGATGGTATACAGGCGATTCTTGTTGCATTGGATTGAAGTCATTAAAAAAGGATTTGGTGATGATCTATCTTTAAGTTCATGCAAAACTTGAGACATGAACTTTGTGCTTTGTGAATGCTTTGGTTGATTTATTTCTTTGCTTCTTTATCTAATTTCCCTGTTTATGATCCATTCATTGATTGCATATGCAGCAACTTAATTTTACCATACACAAATATCATAATTGGCAGTAAGAACATTGCATCAGAGAAAAAAAAGTTTTCCAGTTGGTTACTGATTATTTAAAAAATGGCTGATTATCTGAGTCGGTCAAGGGCTGCTATAAAAACAACCCAAGTCTGTCTTCATTCAAAATTGTAAATGTTTATCTTTTGCGCTGAAGAAGCTGATGACATATTTTTTATATTTGAGTTTCCTACAAATTGAAAATTTCGGGATTTTTGTATCACCAGCAGAAATTCACAAAAAGTTTAGTTAGACTAAATATTCAGAATTAAACATTTAGATAATTATTTAATTTAAAATTAAATATTTTAATTTATATAAATAAAAAATGAACGTTATTAATAGGATTGATATCGGGTTGGGTTCGGGGTGGGTTTTGCTCGTCCTGAACCCGACCCTATCTAAAATTTTTTTTGTTTTTCATACTCGAACCCGATCTCGATCCTATACTATATAAATAATATTCGATTCGATCCGAAATTAATAAAATATTATTTTTTAAAATATAAAATATTATTTTTAAAATATAAATATTTAAAAATATCATTATATAAATATATATAAATAAAAAATTAAAAAATAATTTTTTATATAATATCAGATCAAATCGAGTCAGGTTTACCTAAAACCTGAACCCGATCCGACTTCAATTATTATCTAACCTTACTCGATCCGAAACTTAAATTTAAAAAAAAAAATCAACTTCATAGGATCAGGTGGAATCGTAAACCCATCGAAGACATGTTAGATTATCATCTCTAAATATTGATTCGTAATAATGTAAAATTTATTTTAATAAAAATTGTGTCAGGAATGATGCAAATGATAATAACACGTGAAAATATTAAAATTCAGTTGATCTAAAACTTTAATGTTGATTTGAATTATTTTTGAATATTCAGTAAAAAAAAAAAATTATCGAATGAAAAGTTATTAAAAAAAAAACCGCCAAATAAACCCTTCTCCACTCTCCTTTTTTACTTATGTAATTAACGCTATGATTGTAGGAGATGCTTCTCTCATATCCATCAACCTCTCCTTTCCCTTTATTCTCAAGTTTCTCTTGAAATAAATCTTCTTACCCTTAACAAATTTACCCATTATAACAAATAAATTTCTAATTTTTCAAAATTTTTCTTTGCAAACCAATTGAGTTACCCAGGAAAATTTTAGTTTCTTTATCGATTTTGTGATGTTTTCTCGCTTGAACCCTCCATTTTTGTGCTTTGTGTGGTACCTACTTCTTAAAGATTTTTTATTGTGTTTTTTTTTTTTGGTCATTTGGGTTTTTAATTAGGGTTTCAAGTTCTTTTTTTTTTTTTCTTAATCCAGGTGTTCTGATCTTTATATTTGCGAATTTCCTTTTGGGTATCTTTTTTTTTTAGTTTTCAATTTATGGGTATTTTTTATTTTTATCAATTTGATAATTTTGATTTATTTTAGTTTAGTTAAAGTATTTTAAAGATATTAAATTCGAAGATTTTTAAGAAAGCTTAAAACTTTTTTACTCTTTGAGATTTTTTTGGGAATTCTTTGTGATTTTTATATTGTTTGGTTGATGGATATTTCTTTTTTTTTTTGTGTTAAATTTAATATTTTATTCCTCTTTAATGAGTTTTCAAGTAGTAATCGCTTGAAGATTTTCTTTAGTAATCACATAATTTGAGAAGAATGTAGAAATGGGGGGGGGGGGGGGAGAACATACTGTGGGAAGAGTGTTTGGTTGCTAGGAAATTGAGAAAGAAAGAAAATGAATTTTCATAATATTTATTTTTTTATAATTGTTCTTATATTTTTTACATGTAGTAATTTTATTTGACAAAAATATTAGCCATTTGGCAAAATTAATGGAACGTGTTATATTCGCCATATTTCAACCATCAAAGTCTCTAATTGTTATATTTGGATATATTAAGTCTTTATTTGTTAAAATTAAAAAAAAAAAAATTAGATCCTGGTTTGAGTAACTGGTCAAATGTTGAGGACAAAATTGAGCATTTTAGCCATTAGTTATCAGGGTATTTTTTAATCAAGGAGAGCTGATGCTGTTGCGACCATTATTGTTCTTGTTCTTCACAAGCATGTATGCTTATGGTTTAGAACTTAAAAAGAGTCATGAAGGAAACGAAGATCAGATAATGTTATTCCAAGAGTCTTATCAGCATACATGAAAAGCGAAAACAAAAGAGAAATAAAGCCCAAAATTCAATACAATTATGTGAAGTAGAGGCTTATAATATGCATAATTTGATCTTTAGTCCTGGAAGCATTAGGTATTTGATCATAGACCAAATATCATGACAGGGATTTAGCAGTTTGCAGGATGAGGAAGCTTGCACAAGCTAGGGAGTTGCATGGCGAGGTTTGGGTCAATACCAAGGGAAGGCAACAGGTTGGAGTTCTTATAGGAGCAAAGGCAGCTCATGTCAGCGTGGGAGAGGGCGGAGCAGCAGGTGGATGTCGGCGGAGGAGGGTTGGGAGGGGTCACTGCTGGCTTACATGCAATCAAACCTGAAGCAGGCATGTTGCAAATGCTTTGAGCATCTGTTGTAGCAATAGCCAAAACCATTACTAATGCTGCTATAAATGCCAGACTCTCCATTACTCTCTACATTCTTGATCTCTGAGGGCAGTTTTGAGTTGGTGAGATATGGGGGTTTCAGAGTGGAGGAGCCAAGTTAGGCAAATATTGGTTTTTATAGGGGTAGGATGAGAAAAAAAAATCTAACAAATCGAAAATCAATTTGAAATTTTAATGTTGGATTTGGTTTATATCTTTTTATTAGTTTTGGATTAAATTCGGATATTAAATATGTATATTAAATTCGAATCGAATTTTGAATTAAAAGATAAAAAATTAAATCGAATCGAATTATATATTTTTATTAATTTTTATATATTTTAATTTTTTATAAAATAAAAATAATTGTTATTAAAATCTATTTAAATATATTAAAATTTTATATTCTAATAATATATAAAAACAAAAAAATTAAATTTTAAAAATTGATAAATTGAATTAAATCAAACCAATAAAATTTAGTTTGGTTTAAATTAAATCGTATCAATAATCGGTTCGAATACAAATCAAATTTTAAAAATTTAAAATATTATATAATATTTAAAAAAACCAAAATGAATCTAATAAAAAGTGTTATCATTTTTATATAGGGGTATGAAAAAGGATGATCTATGCTTAGAAGGCATTCAAAATTTGAAAAATAAAGAATTTAAAAATATTTTATCAAATACTCTTAAAATTTTTCTTTTGACACTTTTTTATTAATAAAAAGTAATAAATTCATCGATCGTTTTTATATATATTATAAGTAAATAATTTTTTAAAAAAATTGAATCGGCGAGAAAAAGAATTAAGCTTGATGGAGGGAAAAAACTTTGATAAAAATTTTTAAGTGAAATTCGTGAAGTTAATCTTTACTATAAATAATTAAATATAAATTAAAATTAAAAATTAAAATTGATAAATTAAACGGTATTGTTACATAGATCAAATATGTTAAATTTGAAAAACTTTTAATAATTTTTTATTTTTTAATAGATATTTTTAATAAAAATATTGATAAAAATTTTATCATTAAATAAATTTCATCAAATTTGAATTACAAAAGATATTTTTAGAAATTTTTTTGTATATTATTGATTTTTACATTAAACTCTATTAATATATTGATTTGATTTTTTATTAAAATTTTTATTAATTCACTTTTAAAATTTAATTATACAAACTTGACCTAAAAAAAATATTATGTATCTCTTCTGTCCCATTTTTTTGGGTTTTTTTTTAGATGTCTCAAAATTATATATATATATATATTTTTGAGCATCTAAAATTCTTATTTTTTATATTTTAAAATTATTTTTTATGAATTTTTTAACTTTTTGATATTAAAAGTTATAAAATTTTAATTTTATAAAATATTTTTAATTTTAATATTAAATTCACTAAAGTTAAAATTTTCTTTTAAATTTCGTAAAAATTAATTCGGACCAAATTATTTGGGATAGAGAAAGTAAACTTTATCATTGATGGAGTCCGTGACATTCCTTTCCCCCTGTCGGTTGTTGAGACTCTTCGTCACCCATTTTGTGGAGTCACGGGGTGTGAACTTGTGGCCGAGACAGAAGCCGAACCCTGTTTTATTTTTGTTGGATTCTCTAATGCCTAATCCAATATGAACATCTCATCACATTAAACGTCCAAATCAAATTCAAAACTTTAGCACTACTATTTTCAAAACAATTTTACATGTATAAAAAAATCAGAAATTATTTGATATAGTGAATTTTTTTAATTCAATGAATGAGATTAAAATAATAACATATATTTCATGTTTTTCTAAATTAATTTTTTAAAATATGTATTAAAAATAAGTATCATTATCTTAATTTCTTTTTTGAAATAAATAAATAAACCATTTTTTTATTTTTTTTTGTCTTTGTAATTATTATAAAGATTAAATATTATTACATATAATTTTTAATTTAATATTTTTAATTATCATTTCTCCTTTTTTTTAAATTTATTTCATCGCTATCATTGTGTATGCATTCAGACTAAACCTAATAATTTGAAATACGATACGGTGATACGATATGAAAATAATATGAATAAATAATATGAAAATAACACGGCTTAAAACTTAAAAAAAAACAGAAATAAGTTTAATAAAACAAAAAAAATTATAGTTTATATTTTCGTATCGATACGAATTGTGACATACAATTTTCATGTAAAACATGACATGAATATAATATTTTACATCACATAAAGACACGAATTGTCAGGTCTAATTCAAACACATGATTTCACCATTAATTTTAATATTATTGCTACAATAATTAATCTCACTTCCACCACTGCTTTTACTCTTACTGAAATCAAATCTCATCGCTCATCCAAATTTATCTTAATATGCATCATTGAGTTTACTCATGAGCTTTATTTAATCACTACTTGTTTATTTCATTCAAAAATTCAAAAGGCTAAACATATGTTTTTTATTTAAATTTGGCTTTGATAAACTAAACTTTGGAAATTGGAGTTCATATGAAATAGGCCTTAACTTTTCTACTGCAAAGGAACTTCTTACCCTAGATAGTAAAATATAGGGGAAAACAGAAGAAACCCAAGAATCCACTTGGAAAATTGCTTCTCAAAGGAGGCTGTGACAACAAAGGAAAACAGCAAATTGCAAGCATGCATTGTAGCCTCAACGTCAAGATTTCCCCCAGGCTTTAACCTCCATAACAATAGTAAATTTCATTTGAAGCAATTACCCCTTTATACTATTTGACTGAGGCATATAAGATCACCCTTCTGTAAATTCACAGCCCTTTCCACCAAACTAACAAAAACCAATTCGCATCTGTTTCAAGAAAAAGCATGGCTTCTTTTTATAAACACTCTACTAATTCAATAATGGTTTGAGTGAAATTTATGTAATTCAGCAGGATCATAAAACCAGTAACTGATTAAACAGTCATCACATAATGTCATATCATTCGGCAAATTTATATAACCGTTTCTCGCTATCCAAACTCATAGGTCACCACAACTATTTTCAACCAGCAGAACTCAATCTAGAAAATAAAATTTAAAGAAATGCATCTTTTTTCTACATTAAGTTATTCAATAATTATATAAATTGTCGATGAAGTTGAATCTCAACAGGGTAAACAAATTTTTTTCACCATTACAGAAAAGAATGGTAGAACAATCTAGAAATTTTTTAAAGTTTAAACTATCAGGAAAAAGAACAATAAATGATGCAGAAGTGAGCAACGATGATCAGTAACTTGCAACCCTTGTTGGGCAGTGAAGAAATTCATGTAACATCACTGTAAGTTTAAAAGCAGACCTGGGAACTTGTGTGATCACAGCAGAGGAAAGCAATGAATCTGAAACATCTACTGATCAAGACCATCCCACTTCCAATTTACTGTCTTGCCCGACAAAGCAGAATCACATATACTCTCAAGGGATGACTAAATAATTCATGCCTACAGTGTACTTGTAATGGCAATGTCTTCACAAAGGAACTAGACAATTTCAACGCCTTCAAGTGGAATTGTAGTCATCTGCAAGGTTCTACCATTTCCAATAAACCGTACAGAAGGCAACGAAGGATCTGCAACAGATTCAATCTCAAGAAAATTGAAATCATAAGCACCAGAACGCTTCAAACTGAATACAAAAACAATTGCTATCCATCCCAGAATGGTAACTGTCCAATAGTTAGTCATCCCATGAATCAAACCCCAAGCTATAGCATACCCAACAATAATTCCAGATAAATGTCCAAGAAAACTTGCTTGAGGAACAATGATTGAAGTAAAAACTAGTGACTCAAAAGGTGCAAAACTAATGGGAAGTGAAAGGAATCCAAAAAGATCTAACTTTGATGAAGGTTGCTTCACAGACAAAATCGTCATCCACCCAAAAACAACACAAGAATACCCAACAGCAGTCACTCGCCGAAAATACTCAATTTTAAACCGCTGAATTAAAAAATGGTACATTCCCAACACAAGCAACCCCGATAACACAACCAAAACCAGCGTGTACTGAAGATAATATGCCACTCCAAGACCCAAATGCCCTAATTGTTCTACAACCCCAAGACTCCAAAGAGCACTCATATTGAAAACAAGATGAAGAACACTTATATGTGAAAAAGCTGAAGTAATTATCCTCCAATAGTGACTGTCTACCACAGTTTCATAACTTAAACCCACATGTTGATAACCAATGTTTTTCTTCTGTATGTAAAACCATATTGCACTGCATATTCCTATTATACAACTTGTTGCTGGTTTTTCCAATATCTCATAAAATAATGGCTTCCCCATCTCCACTAATATATAAAATTCCTTCAACTTTCTCTTCTCACTTTATTCAGTCTAAGGAGAAAAACCCAACATCACAAATCCAGATTAAAACCATGAGCTTGTCAACACTTCTTAAAAAGGTAATATTTGACAATGTTTTGAATCAAGCCAAATCTTGCAGTGATTAAAAAAACCCAGATCTAAAATACCCGATACTTTTCAAATATCAATCATTTCAACACAGAAAAAATTAAGCAGCAGCAATAAAAGAAGTGGGTTTTTTCACAGTCGATCAATTAACTACTTCAAGCAGGAGAAACTGAGAGATTAAAAAGAGAAATTTCAGGAGTTAAAGAGGGACATATGGGATCTTACTTTCTCAGCTTTGGCTGTAAATCGATTCAAGATTCCTGGTTGCCTCCCTATATTTTGCACCTATATATATATATATATATACCTTTTTTTTTACTTTACAAATATGATAACAGAGAATAATTCAATTCGATCATACCCAATGGACTTTCTTTGCAAAATTTTGTTCTTGTTTAAATGAGTAACCAATATTACCAAAGTACCCTTGCTCCTTTTCTTTTTCATCTTCTTAATTTGAATTTTTGAGAGAAATTTAATTTTAATGCTACTTGTTGATTTAATCCCTTAGTTTTAGATTTACAGTTTCAAATATATATAAAAAAAATTATACCAAATAAAACTTGTTAATTTTGCATCTTTTTTTTTTTTGTAAGAATAAATATTTTAAAAAATCAATTATTGTTTTAAATATCTTTATGTTGATTGTAAATTTTAAAGTAAATATATTATATTGATAGAGAATACTTTATTTTTTATTATATTATATGATGTATATAATTTTAATCTTATTTTAAAATATATTTAAAAATATTAATACAAAATTATATCTAATTATTTAATTTTAATAATAAAATAATATATTAATTAATTAATTCAATTTAGTTCGATTCGATATTTTAATAATTGATTTTCATACAAAAATTGTTACCATAATAGTTTGACTTACTTTCAATTTCTTATTTCAATTATTGACATTGAAATCTTGAAATGGAAATTAATTTAATTAAAATTATCTCTAACTTAATAATTAATACTTATTCTATCTTGTATAAATTTTAAATTTAGATTTTTTAAAGGTTCAAATACATAGGCTATAATAAAAATCATTGCAATTTTAAGAAGCCTTTTAACTAAAATGTAAACCTAAATAGTTGACCTTAATCAAACATTGAAAATTCAATTAGATTTTATTCCATTTTGATTTTCTAAAGTTTGAAAACATTCTGGCAAAGAAAAAAAAATTCTCAACACAATGATTTGGTTTGAATTTTTCTTTGAAATCAAAACTCCAAAATTGAATCTACTTTTTATATATTTGATAATAGGAACAGGTTATTCTCAAAATTAAGTGTCTAAATTTTTTTTTTCAATGATTTTAAGTGCGAATTTCTCGTATTAATTTGATGCATTTAAAATTGATTAAAATATTAAAAAAACATGAATTTTATTATTTTATTTAAATAAATTTTTATATTGTTATTAAAATCAAATAGTTCTTAATCTTATCTAAATAAAATTTTAACTTTTAATTTATACTTAAATAAATCTTTAAATAAATCAAATTTGCTTTTAAAATAAAACTTATTTGTTACAAATTAAAAAATAATAAAAAATAAAAATTTATAATGATAAAATTCAAATTTCTTATAATATTGTAGTCTTTAAAATTTTGCTTTCGATATGCTTCTTCCAAAAATTGAACCATGATTAACAAGGATGAGGAATTCTTTCACTTTCTAATTGGACCAATCCTTTGTGGGTAATCTAATTACATATCAAATGAACCTAGCAATTTTGTAGGAAAAATTATTGTTTTTTATTTTCATAAATTATTAAATCCTTAATTAATTAATTTCTTCTAATTGTTTGAATTTTAAGTTATTTCTTCTAAATGTTTGAATTTGAGACTTTCATTTATTTAACTAGAACCAAACGCAGTTGTTTCTTCCTCTTCTTTTTTTTCTTTTTTTATTAAAGAATTAATTCTTATGCATCGATGATATAAAAATAAAATTGCATAAATATTCATTTAGTCTAATGGCTTACAAATGAGTGTTGTTGAGGCACAGGTCAAAACAACTTTATATATTATAACGTATACAAATTTATTTGGACCGATCCAAAAATAAAATATAAAATATATCAAGTAAAATTCAAAAATTTCAAAAAAAAAAAAAAAAACAAGTTCATAATTCCGTATCCAACCATATCAACGTTTGCATGATTCCAGCGTTAGTTAAGTGAGTTTCAATTTTTAATGTGGATACGTCTTGTTTTGATGCAAAATATTTATGTTTGGATCTAACCAAAAGCCACCAGCTTCTAAACACATTTCTTCTATTTAAGAAATTAAGGATAAATTAAACTTATTTTAATGATATTTGAACATTCATATTTATAGATAAGAGATATAAGATCATGGGGAGACAATAATGATGTAATCAAATTAATGTGATATTAAATATATTTGATCAACTTGACATTTTAAATTGATATAAATATTAAAATTATCTTAACTGTCCGTTAAATACTCATAATGAAAAGAAAAATTATTATAATTTTTTTTTAATCACCAAATGCTTTCACCAAACCCAACTTTTCATTTTACATAAAATTTTAAACTTTATAAAAAGTTTCATTCGTTCAAATATCTTATCAATTGAAAATTAAGTTTAAGATATTTATAAGCATTCTTAAAATTTAAAAAAAAAATTATTTAAGAATTAGATACTTACAAAATGTTTTTAAAAAATTCTTTTTTTATAAAATTAATAAATCCATCAACAAGTTTTATATATTATAAATGAACATTTAAAAAAGTTTTAAATCTGCACTATCCATTAATTCTTCAGAGTTTGTCCATGCAATGTACAATTAATCAAAAAGATTTAAACCGATGTTATAGGATGATCCAAATTTGGAAATTGATTTGTTACGTATGGTTTCTCTATTTACATGACAACAATGATTTTTTAAAATCTTAATACTTTGATTTAAAATATATTAATGTAATACTTACTTTTAATCATATATTGCTTCTCTATCTCCACGACTACAACGATTCTTTTAAATCTACATGATCAAATTACTCGATGAACCCTAGGTCCAACTTGACTTATGCAAATATCTCTTAACTAATATTGGAGTTTAGGTGATCTTGAATTTTAAAAATCTTTAATATTATATTTAAATTATAAATTTATTAATTAATATTATACTTATTTCTAACGTGATTAATTCGAAATAATAATATGTAATGAATAGATAATCTTACAAATACTATATTAATTAATAAATTCACAATTTTAATATCACATTAAAGATTTTTAAATTAACATATCGCAATAAATATTTCATTTTAATTCAGAAGCCATTTATAATATTAATCCATTTTTTTTACTAAAAAAAGTTTCACCTCAACTCTATTAGTTAAATTGAGTCCTGAAATGAATTTATAATATTATATTAACAAAGTTTGGTTTCATTAATTTTCTTATAAATATTAAATCGTTAAATTAATATAATTTAAGGGTTAAATTATATATTAATTCAAACGAAAATGAAATGCAATATTTTATCAATATGAAAGCTGAAGCTCAGTTGTTCCATTGGGAGGAAAAGTTGGAGTCCATCAAGCAAAACTTGGGCGATGTCATGCAGCATCACACTTGTGCCTGCATCGTGATAACATTCTAATAATTTGTTTACTTCATTAAGTTGTATGACTTGCCATGGTCTTCACATAAATGGCTATTGGATAATAATTTTGTTTATACTTGATAATTTATGTAATCATATCGCATAAAATATTAAAATTTTTATATTTATATTATTTTTTATATAACAATTATTTATCATAAATCATATTGATATAAAAACATAAAATATATTTTTTTATTAAATTCATATATAATTATTATTAAAATTTTAAATTATATTACCTTGATATCCTTTGTGTTACCCTATCATGTTTTAAATTGTTAGATTCATCATAATTGGACGCAAAACGCAATTTCATAGCCAGTACATGATCTCCTTTGTAAACAAATATATATATATATATATATATTTTTTTTTTTTTTGGTTCAGGGGAGGGCATAGCCCTTACAAGGGGGAAAGAGAGAAAATTTTGGCTCCAAACCAGGACCTCTATGCCCTTAAAATAGATTCATCTATTGCATAGTACATTATTGACTAAAAGACATACAAGATTTGGATAGGAACAAACTAAAAACCTACTTGATATAGTTTTTAAAAGAGAGAAAAAAACTAATTATGGGAGCCCAAGCAAGTTTCGTCCATGTCATTGTCATGAAACCGAACTTACAGCCCGCAATACTGCCACAACTCGGAGCTAAGCCTCCTTAACTGTGTCATACATACATTCTCAAAAACACGTATTGGTAGTAATTAAAATCAATATTGTGTTCTTCCATCACCCTCTGTGATCATATCTTTAAAAGCCCCTCCGCTGGGAATCATAGGCAGTACATGCTCTTGATGGGGGACAACTACATCTAACAAGTAAGGTCCAGGAGTGTCCAACATTTGGTGAATTGCTGCTCTGAGATCTTCCTTTCTTGTCACACGGGCAGCAGGTATTCCACATGCTTCTGCAAATTTCAACATATTTGGGAATATTTCGGACTCATTGGATGGGTCACCCAAATACGTATGAGCCCTGTTTGCCTTGTAAAATCGATCTTCCCACTGAACAACCATGCCTAAATGCTGATTATTTAACAACAATATCTTAATGGGAAGATTTTCCACACGGATAGTGGCCAACTCTTGGACATTCATGATAAAACTTCCATCACCATCAATGTCTACAACAACAGCTCCTGGATTTGCAACAGCAGCTCCAATGGCAGCAGGCAAGCCAAATCCCATAGCCCCCAATCCCCCTGATGTCAACCATTGACGAGGCTTCTTATACTTGTAAAACTGGGCAGCCCACATCTGATGCTGGCCAACACCAGTGCTTATAATCGCATTCCCATTGGTTAGTTCATCAAGCACCTGGATTGCATATTGAGGTGGAATAGCTTCACCAAAGGTATTGTAACTCAATGGGTTTTTCAGCTTCTGCTCGTTTAACTCCTGCCTCCAAGCTGAATGATCAAGTTTAAGCTTAGCTCCCTTGCTCTCCAATATCCTGTTTATCCCCTTCAATGCCAATTTCACATCTGCACAAACCGACACATGAGGCTGCTTATTTTTCCCAATCTCAGCTGAATCAATATCAATATGCACAATCTTGGCCCGGCTGGCAAAAGTCTCAAGTTTTCCTGTCACTCGATCATCAAACCTCACTCCAAAAGCAAGCAACAAATCACTCTTATCCACAGCATAATTAGCATACACAGTTCCATGCATCCCAAGCATTTGTAATGACAACTCATCCGAGCTCGGAAATGTCCCTAGACCCATCAAAGTACTTGCAACAGGTATCCCTGTAAGCTCAACAAACCTCTTCAACTCCTCACTGGAGTTCAAACACCCACCACCAACGTACAACACTGGCTTCTTAGACTCTGAAACAAACCTCACAATCTGCTCTAAATGAGCCTCTTCGGGAGCCTTTGGAAACCTAGACATATACCCTGGCAATCTAATAGGCTGGTTCCATTTAGGAACAGCAAGCTGCTGTTGAATATCCTTAGGTACATCAATCAAAACAGGACCCGGCCTGCCCGAGGTAGCTAAAAAGAAAGCCTCACTAACAATCCTAGGAATCTCATCCACATCAAGAACAAGATAATTATGCTTTGTAATAGACCTTGTTACCTCAACAATAGGAGTCTCTTGGAAAGCATCAGTACCGATCATTCTTCGAGGGACTTGACCTGTGATCGCCACAAGAGGGATACTATCAAGCATCGCATCAGAGAGACCACTCACCAAGTTAGTTGCCCCAGGGCCAGAAGTCGCAATGCAAACGCCTGGAAGGCCGGATGAGCGAGCGTACCCCTCCGCAGCAAAGACCCCACCTTGTTCGTGTCGCGGAAGGACATTTCTGATTATTTTGGACCGGGTTAAAGCCTGGTGGATCTCCAGGGAAGCTCCACCAGGGTAGGCAAACACGTCCTTGACCCCTTCACGTTCCAGTGCTTCCACGAGGATATCAGCGCCTTTTCGGGGCTCATCAGGGGCATAACGGGAAACGAAATCATGGGAAGGGGAAACAATTGGGATGACGGTGGTGGCACCAGATCTGGGATTGGAGCTTGATTGAGAAAGAGAGCTGGAAATCTGGAGGGAACGGGAAGGGGTGAGTTTTTGAGGGGTTGTAGAGAAGGGAAGGATAGATTTGGAAAAAGGTATTGAAGATTTGAAGGAGGAAGTTAAAGGGGAAGCTTTAGGAAAAGTGGTGTTCGCAGTGGCAGCGGCCATTGTCGACGAGAAGCTTGTGTAGAGGATTACTTTGGGCGTGTTTGGCGAGAGGGAGAAAGATACCATGACCAGGATTCCTATTTAACTTTGATCTTTGCCTATATCACTCTTTTGCCATTGTTTTATTTGTTTGATTAGCTTTATAGGGAGTATGAATATCTGAAAAAAGTGAGTTTTTGAACCATTTATATTTATAACTCTAAAAAATTAATCTACATTTTTTTCAACTAAGAGAGATTTATGTTTATTTCGTGTGAAATATTAAAATTTATATATTTATTATTTTTATACAAAAATTATGTTTTATTATTTTTGTTAATATAAAATATGAAATATATATTTTACGTTTTATTAAATATATTTATTTATTTTTATAATTTTAAATTATATTATTTTTATATTTATTTTTATATCATATTCATATGATTTTATCGTATCATATTTTATATTATTAAATTTAACTTTTGACATATTAATATATGTTTTACTTTTTTGGTGCTTTTAATAAAGAAACAAGATTATACGATAAGATTGTTATTTTTTTAGCTTAATGTTACAAATAATTTTTGAATTATAATAAAATATTTAATATGATATTTAAATTTTAAAAATAATTTATATGATATTTAAATTATTAATTTGTTAAATAATAGTACTTACTGTAATGAAATTCACTTCAAATAATTACATGTGACCAACAAAAATTTGAGGATCAATTGTAATATTTTGGTTTTGGAACCTATCATACTCTACAGCGTGATTAATTATAAAGTTACCAAAAGAAATTATTTTGTTTAGAGATAAATGTACAAGTATTAATTTTGAAATTCATTACATAATTAAGAGAATGAGTGACACCTAGCAAGTGATTTTTTTTTTTTTTTTGGGTACAAACAATATGGTTAAAAACAATAATGATTATTCATATATATATATATATATAATTCGTATTTAATCCATTATAAATATAAAATTTTAATTATACGAATTGAATTAAAAAAATAATATAGATCTATTTTTTAATTAATTTTTTTATTTTTTAAATATATTTAAAAAATATGTATTACTATTTTAATATCATTGATATAATTAAAATTTTATACTAATAATATATCAAATATTAATTCATATATAATATATATATAATTTTCTTAAGTATATATAGAGAATAGTTTTTTTTTGGATAAGAGACAAGACAAGTTATATGTCAATCTTGTCTATTTTGATTTTTTTTAATTATTTATGCATATATTTTATTTAATTTTCTAATGGATAAGATTCCTATTTTTTAGTTCTAAAGTGAGTTCATGTCCTCCCCTTTTCTCGTCGTGATTCACATGGCTATATTTGTTGTATTTTCCAAGTCAAGAATGAAAGAATATCCAAAGAAAGTCATACTTAGTATATTGTTGTTCAATTAAAAGAGAATAGCTAGTTTTCATTTAAAAAAAATTCATGCACTAACATTTAAAAAAGAAAAAAAATTTTACGAGATAAAGAAATTAATTCACATTTTGTCATGTAATTTTGGTTCTATTTATTCGTTATATTTATTATTGATAATGGTGTTTAAGAGCGTAGGTGAGTTGGGCTGATTTGGACCTATAACAAAGAAACCATAATCAAAATTATCGAAAATTTATTTTTTTGAGTACGTTTCGATATTTAAATTAGTTAAGTATATTAGAATTTAAGGAAAAAGAAAATTAGCTGAAAAAAGGCTTAAAAATGAAACAATTAAAATACGTATTTGGATCTTATTTTTATCTTATATATAAAATAATAGATGTTGATATAATCGAAATAGATGATAATTAATGAAAAATCTATATGAAACTTAGAAAAAAATTCACGTAAATAAATGTGAGTTATATTTTATAATTATAAATAAATTAAAAAAAAATTGATCTCTTATGAGATGACATGTCAGATGTAATAATTATTATATTATATTTTTCATTTATTTTATAAAAAATTGTTAAAAAAAAGCAAATTGTAAAAAACAAAACTATAAACTACTGGCTTATAAATAAATTGGACTTCACGCTTGGCCCATAACTCACACACCCAGCCCAAAGGCCCATTTTCTATGCCCCAACTCTTACAAATTTATCAAAGGGATTTGTCCTCTTACAAAAATTATGTAGCAAAAGCCTTCAGTTTCTTAATATAGTTGTCGAGAGAGCCTTAAAGAATACACAAAAGTTGGGGTTTGACTCCAACCTCTCCCCTCACTCTTGTTGTAAAAGTTCTGTCCTCTTGAAACAAAAAAAAAAGTTATGTAGCAAATAATAATGATGATCGTGATCTAAGTTTGAGAGTCAGCTTATCCTACCGAATCAATTTGAACATTGTTGTAATATGAAAGAAAGCCCAAGAATCAAAACTCCTTAAAAAATCCATAATCAATAGTGACCACAACCTACAACACATTAAATTATAATAATTAGAAATTTTGATAATTTATATGTAAAAATTATATTTTATATAAAAATTATATATTATAATTTATATTAATATAAAAATATAAAATATATTTTTTAATTTTATTAAATATAAATATAAATTTTTTAAAATTTTAAATTATATATATATTTTATATTATTTTCAAGATCATATTTTAAATTATCAAATTATCGGCAAGCACACAAAAACATGTTTATTAGGGGAATACTGCCTGACTTACTGGCCCTAACAATTGCATTGTTGTAAGCACTAAATCTCTTGATTTTGATACACAAAATCTAAATGCCTTATCTGCAAGTCCAACTCCTGCCCAACCACTTTTTCCTTTCCTAAATCCTATATCTTCCACAGATTCTAGCTTGCTTACTTGTGTTAATTACATCACCCACATTTTCCTCCACTATTTCTCTCTCTCATCTTCTGGTTTTGTCTACATTTCCCAGATTTTTTTCCTCTTTACCTTATCTTTTCCTCCCTCTTTTTCTAAAAAAAAAGTACTCGAGTTCAGGTGCTTTTTCTCGGGGTACCCAGATCTTGTTTTCTTCTTGGCTTCACTTTTTCATGATTTTCACAAGGTTTTAAAGTATGGGTATCTCCTGAATTTCTGAGGGAAATATTGGTTAAGAACTAGTGGCAGTGAAAAATATTGCTGGTGATCGTTGAATAGAGTTCCATTCCAAGGTCGATAAAGATGAAAATCCAGTGTGATGTTTGTGAAAGAGCACCAGCCACAGTGATATGTTGTGCAGACGAGGCTGCACTTTGTGCAAAATGTGATGTTGAAGTTCATGCAGCTAACAAGGTTGCAAGCAAGCACCAACGTCTCCTCCTTCAGTGCCTTTCAGACAAGCTTCCTACTTGTGATATATGCCAGGTACCCTTGATTTTTATAGGTGTCAGATGCTTTTTTCATGGTTTCTTTAATTTAATCTGATAGATCTAAGTCATCTATCTATTGGCTTTGGTTGTTAAACCTGTTACTAGAAAATAATATAGAACCAGAAAATCTGGGTGGGCGAGTGGGGATCTAAATGGGTTCAAAAACATTTTCTAGTTCATAGATCTTATCTTAATACATAGATCTAAATGGCTTATTGTTAAGGGTGTTTTTCATATAGAAAAACTTGGAATTATTAGTGATAACCAAAAATAAAATCAATGGCTTTGAGAAAAATGATGGATAAATTTTGATGTTCTAACTTTTGTATGTTTTTCTTGGTTTTTCATGCTATTCTTCGAAAAGAATATGATACCGTTGAAATGCAACTGAATGGTAAATATCCTTTTCAATTTTCTATAAGCTTGTTCAACATTGTTTTATTATCATAATTGCAAAAAATTTCTGAATGGTCAGATGCTCTGATTCTCTTCTCACTCTTACATGATTTACAGGAAAAAGCTGCTTTCATTTTTTGTGTTGAAGATAGAGCCCTTCTTTGCCGGGATTGTGATGAACCTATCCATTCAGCTCGCAGCCTTTCTGCAAATCATCAAAGATTCCTAGCCACAGGAATCCTTGTTGCCTTAAGCTCTAGTTGCAATAAGAAGAATACTGAAAAGAATGGGTTGGAGCCTCCCAACAACAGTGCACCTCAGACTTTGATGAAATTGCCTCCACAGCAACAGTCAAGCTTCCCATCTTCATGGTCTGTTGATGATCTGTTACAATTTTCAGATATTGAATCTCCTGACAAGGTGAGAAAAGATATAATGATTGGTTAGGAGACTGATATGAAACTTCTGAAACATGAGACAATCAATGGAAGTCAAGAGTTTTCATCTTCCTATAATTTTTCCTGGTCTTTATGCAGAAAGAGCATCTTGAGCTTGGAGAGCTTGAATGGCTAGCAGACATGGGTCTTTTTGGTGAGCAATTGCCTCAGGAAGCTTTAGCAGCAGCTCAAGTTCCTCAACTTCCAGTACCACAGTCAAGCAATTTCAACAACTCATGCAGACCTACCAATCATTTCATGCCCCTTAAGAAGCCTAGAATTGAAATCCCAGATGATGATGATGAATTCTCCACAGTCCCTGATCTAGGCTGACTGTTGATGTAATTAGACTTCTGTGTCGATATGCCGAACAACTATATGTTTATACTTTCATATGGACGCTTACTTTAGCACATACACATACATTGCATTCAGTCTTGGGTGGCAAAATGTTCATGAGAATACTCAAATCTATATTTTCTTCCATTGACGTGTGAATTGCTTGTTTTAAGATGGTGAATTCATCACCCTTTGCTCTAGGATATTCTGTTCATTCTATTCAGTGCAACTCCTTTCATGTTATGCTGCCAATGGATCATATCTCTAATTATAAAACGCCTGTCTTAGAAGATGTCCCAGTTTCTGTCCTGATATTTTTTTATGAAACTTGATATATAAGTGATACGATTTAAAATTTTAATAAAAATTATATATGATTAATAAAAATAAAAAAAATTTATTTTGTATTTGACATATAGATAAAAATTATAACGCGAAATAAACAAATATGAATCATTACAATTGGATAAAGAAGGGGATAAAAGTTCTAATAAGAAATGGGAAGCCATTGACAATGCTATATCATTACAATGGCAAATTTTCACTGGCAGCATCTCGGTATGGATCCATGGATTGAAGAAGGTTGAAAGAATAGACCTCTCCGGTTAGATCCCTACCGGGATTTCTGAACTAAGAAGATTTTACTCACATGAGCTTGTCAAATAATGGCTTTTCAGGCTGAATTCCTTGCAGTAATGGATTATGGAAGCTGCAGACATTAGAGCTTGGCTCCATTATGTTAGTTGCAAGCTTCCTGCGAGGTTGAGAACTTTGACTGTCCCACAACCGATTTTCGGGGCGTATAACATCATGAGGGATGCTTGCATTGCCCCAGTTGGATCGCTTTAATTTCCTTCAACCCACAGCAATAGAGCTCATCGACTCTCTTGATAAAATGTTGAATTTTTAATTTCAATGACAGTTTAAATTCTGACAGCTTCAAGTGCCAAAAAAATAAAAGAGAAACTAGCACACTCTTCGATAAATAAAAAGTAAACAATGAATTTATCAGTGATCCATTTAACTCTCTAATTTTTTATCTTCCAATTTGTTTACACTCAAGCACCACAATCATTCAAGGAAAAACTATTGATCACTTTCTCAGCACATGGAAATTGATTTTTATGAATATGGTAAACAAAAAATTAACCAGAGAAGAAATTCTATATGGTAAAATTGCCTAAAAATCATGTAAGAACTGATATAAACACACAATTCTTTCCTGCTACAACTTAGACAATGCTGCAGTTTCAGAGAAGCCAATTAACACTAATGTTGCCAAGCCATGTGAAAAGGGGAAATTGAGCCAGGGCAATAAAGAGCAAAAGGTAATGGTGCCTGCTGGATTCATAACTTCTAACCTCTGCAAATAGGACTCTCTTCATCGTCTTCACCAAGAAGACTCCCATGCACAAGCATGTCCATGGCATCAAAAAGTAGTAGGAGTATCTCCATATGATCCTTCCAAGGACAGGCAAACATATTCCTGTAAAAGTATACCCAGCATATGCAAGAATGTCAAGTAAAGGTGCCTCACCACTACCCAATGATAGTAATGTTACTTTCAGCAGCATGACTTGCAGAAACCAGCCAAACAATCCCTTAACAAACAGCCAGTTAAGTGCTTCAGGGCTAAACCTGGATGAAAAGATAAGAATAGAAATCATTTGAGGTAAAAGAAATGGAAAATGTGATATATCGTCTTGCCAAGTAATATATATGTAGAAAACTAAGTGATTAAAATTAGTTTGCGAAATTATGAATCAGAATACTGCATTTAGAGTGGTCACCACGAGAAAGAAGACAAGACTACAAGAAGCCAGATCTTAAGGTATAGTGTATTAACGTTGAAGCTTCAGTTTCTCAGAAGATATTGGCCAAAAAAAATTCCAAGATTCAAAAACAAACAAACTACAGAAAAATGTTGAGTAACCAATGACAAGGTACAATAATAACAATAACCATTTCTTTTTCCTTCACAATTTGGACACCATCTAGAGAAAGATTCATTCTGGCTCTGGTGCCTGAATGAAAACTCCTCCACTTGCCCTAATCTCACAGCGATAATTATAAAATAAAAAACATTAGATGCAACACACATACGTGTAGCTATTGGCTTGCCACAGATATTTGTTTAGCTATTGGCTTCTTTTTTAAGACCCATGAGAACAGGAAGGGAAAGCTCTCTAGGGAGCAGAGGATTTGTGGCATAAAGGAGAAAACAGAAGTTAGGCCCCTCAAAGTTACCAAGTTATAGTTAGTAATAAGTGTTTGGAAGTCACCTAATTAAAAATTAAAACAAAGCAGGAAGACCTCTGTCCAGAATAAGGTTTCAAACCACTAAAATGTACATTGCAAAATTTGGAAACAGAAGTTAGGAATAGAAGAAGCAGTTAGATTGAGGGGAAAAATCTCTTACTTCCCTTGAAGGCCCAGTGACAATCCAGCAAGAACAACATAGGTACCGAAAGCCATAAATGGGATGTACAAGTCTGGTGCATTTATGTCATAAATTGGGGGTTTATAGGAAAGCCTGCCACCTACTGGCTCAGTTATTCTTGTCCAATGGCCCTGAAGGAAAAGGGAGAATATGAGAAGGAGAAATAAACAAAAACATGGAAAATGTCTGAAAGGAGAGCAAATGCTTACCCTGTGCAGAAATGGCAGTAAAACAACCTTCAATTTGTTTCTCACATACTGATCATTCACTTGAAAGTAGTACTGGGGATCAGAGAAGTATCTACTTATCTGCTCATTTCAAGATAAAAAAAATAATTTTGAGGCAAGAACAAAATTCATAAATTTGGAGCATTTCCGATATGCTGAAGTGAGACAAATCGGATACACCCCTAAGAACAATCAGAAGCCTTTCACAAGCAAACTGTTCAAACCATGTCAAACGATTAGTAAATCCTCTGAAAAATGATTTGGGATCCCAAAATTTGATTTAAAATCCACATATGACTTTGACAGTATCCTGGAATAGCAAATATTCAAATACATGATACTATGATGCAACAAGGAGTGAAAGAATACATTGTTTAAGCATATGATAATACCAATAAAGTAAAACTCTATAGATCACTGCAGCAGCATGCTACTTACATTGCTTTGCACATACTCTGAACTTGATCCCAAAATTTTCTCTCCATATGCACCCAGACCACCTCGGATAAGACCAGAACCAGCCCCATAAAATGCATTATCAAATGGATTTGGCTGAGGATTTGTTGGCGGTCTTGGCACCCCAGGCTGGGCTCCCAAGTTATTATACATTTCTGAAATCAAGCAAAAGGTGAGAAAATATACTGAGAAAACTTTTATTTGAAGAGAATATCTCATAATGGTGCAAGAACAGAAAGTCACAAACTTCAAATTTAAAAGAGAAAAACTATATCCTACCAGGTAGAAACAGAAGCCAAAGGTGAATACTTCTGTCGATTATTATGATTATTATTATTATTATTATTATTATTATTATTACACACACACACACACACACACATATATATATGAATCTGTTCAGAATTAGCAATGCTTATTGACCACTGTTATTGTTAATAGCAAAGCACACTCAGGAAAACGATAAAAGCTAAGACACTGGCACTAATGCAAATGAAATGCAGAAAACCATAAATACATCAGATGGCATCCCTATTTAAAACCAACATAGTAGTTAGTGAGCTCATTTTCTCTACTTCTTGCAACAAAAATTTTGAAAAAAGATTTGTTTCTTGCAGATTTAGGCCTCTCACCACAAATCAACCTTGTTTAGAATGAGGAGAATTATAATCTTTTAGATGATTTAAAATGTGAAATCTGCACCAAAGGTTCATTCTTCCATGTTGCTGTTTGTGTTTATTAATCATAACTAGCTCACTGTAATGATAAAATATCATATCAAATTGTCAGCAACAGAGATATATTGGCATGCAATTTAACTCTGTTTCATTCATTATATGGTGAAAGAAGACATGTGATTAACTAACTTGGAGGAAGAGCTGCTTAGCTCTCATTTCCAATGGCATGAAAACAGATGTAATACAGCCTTAAAGGGTTAAGGGGAATGCTAAAACCCCACCCCAGGGTTTTATTGACCATCAAAATTGCTTTCATAGAAAAAGGAGAATAACTCTAAAGTACTTTTTTTTTCACGAGTTTTGAGAGCATTACTTGTAGCTGATCAGCTTCATTTCCTCTAATTTGCAGTTCAAGCACAAAAGATTCTATAATTCTGCAGATTATAAGGAGTTTTTACCTATTAAAAAAAATTCAAATTGAGAAAAACAACAAATTTCTGAAATCAAGAAGGCTCCTCCTATTTCACCAACCAGACAAAGCTTTTAAAATCAGTCCAAAATAAGTTGAAAACTTATTTTTTCCAAAACTAAAAGCTTAGGTTTATATCTATCTTTAACTTTCCCAATAAACTGTAAGCACCATAAGAAGAAATAGCTAACTAGCAATTTGGATACCTCCCCTCTCTATTTCTATCCTTCATAATCATTGGAGTTTGGAGTGCAGCTTTATCAGTTCAAATAAGCCAAGAGTGCGTACAATTTTTCAGTTTACTATATTCATCTTTTTCATGTCATCCAAGCAGCTCTGACTTAGATGCTTACTTACCCATGGTTAAAGAACTCGATTTCTCAAACCCAGAGCTTAACTTAGTTGGTTCATACAGCTATCCTTATGAGGTGGCAAGTTTAGGGTTCAAATCCAAGCACCTACAAGGCTGCAACCCCTTTGATATGGGCCAGAAGATATTGAAGTTGGGTTATTGATTAAAGCCCAATTGTTCATGAGTCCAATATTATAGTGTAGTATTTTTATTATCCGTTAAAGTTAGTTATTAATGTTAATGTCAGAGTTAATTGATGATACTGGATTAGTTACAAGATGAGTATTGGTCTGTAATAGATTTAAGGGGAGGAATCATCATAATAAGGTCACATTAGAATCATGGGATAGAACAACCCATTCTCTCTCTATCTATCTATCTTTCTTCTTCTCTATACTGTTTCATTTGGCTTGTATCACCCTTTCCCTATTCCCAAGTTGCGGCCTCTTGGTACCAACAAAAACTCTTTGTCGTAATTTCTTCCAATTAACAGATGCAATAAGCTCTAAAATTCCTCAGTCATCTCCAACCTCAGCCAAAATCATTCTAAAAAGCACCTAACAGTAAAAGGGATTTCGGTTTCAAAGACCCTTCATTTGTTAGCTTGGCCAACAAAATCGTGTTCTACCCTAATATAATTTCCAACCTCAGCCAAAATCATTCTAAAAACCACCTAACAGTAAAAGGGATTTCGGTTTCAAAGACCCTTCATTTGTTAGCTTGGCCAACAAAATCGTGTTCTACCCTAATATAATTTGAACATCTACACATGCCCCATAGACCCTTCGTCTCAATCATTTAAAACCCCTTTTTATTTGAATCAAATTAGCCCTAAACCTCGAAGTAGCAACAGTAAAGCAGCCAGGACCAAATTTCACATCCAGATTGAACAAAAAACTGAAAATCAACTCACTCATAAATCTTCAATTATCTATCTACTTTACATAATGCAAAAGTCATCAAGAATTAAACAATTAAAAAAAAAAGAAAGATGAACACGAACGGTTCTGAATCAATGATCGATCAATTTAAACTACAAAGAAATAAATAATAATAATGAATAAGAAGAAATTTTCGATTCTAATTCATTTTAATTTGCAAGCAAAACTTCAATTAAATCACGCAAAAATACAAATGTAGACAAAATTATTTTATTATATTAATAAACAGAGAGATTTGAATCGGAAAAGAAAGGACCTTTGCACTAAAAAGAGAGCGGTAAAAAGGTGTTGGCGAAGATCGGAGTTCTGAAGAGATTCCGGTGAGGGTTTTTCCAAGTACAAGGGAAGCGCGGTAGTGGAAAACTCAGAGAAACGGTGAAGGATAGATAAAGATAAATCGAAGAAAAAATTGGAAATCGTGTGAGGCACGCGTCAAGCACATGCTGTCACCTTGCTTGCTTTTATTTATTTATTGTTTCGGAGGGTATAACTTTTAAAAAAAAAAAATTTAGAGGTAGATAGATTGTTTAATTTTTTATATCATAACAAGAAATATCATCTCTGACAAGTTAAAATAAGTGATTTTAGATCATATATTCGAGATGATTTCATTAAATAATCATCAATAAAATTCGAACCTAAAATTATTTTATAAAAAAAAATAACTTTAATCGATTAAACCAATATAAAAAAAAAATTATAACTCGAAATTAATACTTTGATATTATTAAAAGGTGAATGATAGTTATCTTGCTTTAGCTTGTTGAATCTAATTATATTATTTTGATTTGAAATTTAATTTTTAAAATATTATATAATATTATAAAATTTTAAAATTTTATATGAATTCAAATTAATTTTTTATATGATTTTATCTGAATTGAATTAAATTTTATGGATTTAATTTGATTTATTAATTTTTAAAATTTAATTTTTTTATTTTTATATATAAAATTTTAATAATTTAATAAATTTTAATATAAATTTATTAATTTTATTTTATAAAAATTTAAAAAATATATAAATTAATAAAAATATATAATTCAATTTATTTAATTTATTTATCAATATAAAATTATATTTTAATCTAATATATATTTAATATATAAATTTAATATCATCGAACAAAAAAATCAATTCAAAATCAAATCAAATCAATTGGATTTTCGATATTTGACTTTTTTTCCCCCGATGATTGGAGGACCAAACAAAGCCAGTTTTTGCATCATTGTACGATTGCCAAGTATTTGGTTCATTGTTGTCTGTCATACACAACACACAGTAATGCAACTCAAATGGTTATCGTCAAGTAGGTTCGACCATCTTAATGTTGGGCTCAAAAATGCCAACAGCTGGCTCTGGAGTCCTTCCTTTCGGTCTCTTGAAACGGTGGTTACTGGTTAGAGCTTTGATATGGAAGCTGCAGAAGTAGAGGAAGCATTGAAGGTGTTGGACGCCTCTCTCTCTCTCTCTCTCACATCAAATGGCGTCTTCAATAGCGTGGACTCCAAATAGGTCCTTTTTTTTCTTTCTTTCCTGTGACTGAAACGTTCATGGGTTCCTTTCAATATTTCACTTTCCGGGTTTTTTCTACTTTCATTTTAGCTCTGTCTATATTGCTGAAAGGCATGGGGGGAGTTTCTGGGTGAAAAGCATGAATTTTATTATTCTTTGAGACATTTTTGTTTGTTTGGAGCTGTTTGCAAGGGGTAAAACTTTAAGGTGAAATAAGGTTTAGAAGTTAAGAGTTTTAGTTAATTTTAAAATACTTGGATAGGCTTGTTTATACCTGTGTGATTGAGGTCTTAAGGCCTAGATAAGCTGAGATTAATGTAGGGAGATTAAGGCTGATTTCGTAGGTCGGAGTTAAGTTGGTAGTTGATTGTCTACTTTGGGATGATAAATCAATACTCTCAAGTTTTAGTTCGTAGATTATTAAAATGGATAAACTAAGATCAATTTTGAAGTTTTAAATCAATTCGACACATCAACTTAATTAGAATGTTCTCGTTCATCTACTGGCTTGTATTTTTTTTAAAAAATCTATTTTACTCTTTAGACACCAAAATACCCCAAACAATTTTTTTTTTTCAAAATCAAGACATCCCATTTTCTTTCTCTAATGAATGTATTTTCCTGGAAAAAGCATGATTTTTGCGCGTTTTGATTGTTCCTTTTACTGCTTGCTTTCTGTCTTCTGAACTATAAGGCAAAAACGAATGAAGCCTTATGTTGACCTTATGTTCTATGGAATGAAAATATTTCAATCATAACTTAACTCTAAAGCTTGGCCAGATGTTCTGGCATTGTGCTTGAGAATGAGGCCAGTTGTGATGCTTGGTTATTATTTGTGAGTTGTCTGGGAAGGGAAAAAATTTAAAAACACAAGAAAGAGAGATTGGTTAACAATAAAGGTAGGAAGTTATTTTGGTATTTGTGTTTTGATGTTCTAAGTTAGTGTTCGGTTTAAAAAAGAAAACGAAAATAAAGACATAAATGCGAAGATTGTTAGATAGAATAGAAATATCTAGATGGAGCTATCTATACATGAGATGGGCATCCTTGGGCCTAGATAACCTAAAGTTAGTATAAGAGACTACGATTAATCTTGTAAACCCAAGTTGAGCTGACAGTTGACTGTTCACTCAAGATATGACAAATCAGCACCTAATCCACTAGCTGATAGGCTATTAAAATGGCCAAACTGATGTAAATCTTAAAATTTCAGATCAATCAAAATGATCAAATTACCTTCACTTGGCAGTTGATTTATACTAAAATGTCTATTTATCTTGTGGACACTAAAATGCCCACAAGGTGAAAAGATGCATGAATTGCAAGAACATCTACGTGCATTTCTTGAGCACTGTCAAAAGGTCATACTCCACATTGATTCACTACATTAGTTGGGAATTGAATTGAATATATCCTGACGACTTCTTTTTCGACAAGCTACTTTTAGATTGATGTTTATATTTCTGTGTTATTCCTTAACTTGTTTGAATCATATCAAATAATACCATTGAAGTGCATGGTGATGTATATAACATATGTATGCATTTATGTAAATGTAGATTGTTTTAGCTCTAACTATGGAATCTGAAACTCTATTTATTCATTTTAATCAAATTATGGTTCTTATATATAAGTAACTGAGGTATCTTTAGAAACCAGTGATCATATCATTTTAATCAATGATTTATAATATTTTAGATTTCAACTGTCAAATTTCCTGTCATAGCTCACTCATGCTAATCATGGTTCTATATGTGCAAACATACCAACTTCAATCCAACTGTTTTGTGGCTCCCAAACAAGAATCTGTTGGTATAGTGTAAGCTACAATACCTATTTGCATAATCAATGATAGATAATGTTGTGTTATTTATTCAGTTTTGTTCATTACCAGCATATCTATTTGTCCAATAGACACTTCTATTTTTGAGTTCATACCCATATCGACAAAGGTCTATGGTAGATTAACTACATGATTGTTACATATAGTGATAATATATTTTTTTTACTATGCTTGTGGAGAGGTTGCCATTCATGGGATTAAATACTATTTCTTGATATGAATTCATCCACGTGTCATCCTACTCTCGCTCGGTCCTTTTTTTTTTTTGAAGTTTGTAATTTACACTTAAATCTTTTACATTATCACATACTTGCCCGAAACACATTTAAATTCTTTCAAATTCACAATTTTAAATATCAACTTTAATAATGTACAAACTGATCCAAAAAGTAATTTTTTGCCTATTCCCTTTTGTTTGGAAAAGATGCTGTATAATGCTAAAATCCCTTTTGTTTTTGTTTTTGTTTTTTTTTTTACAAAAGTGGCTTCTCTAGTTCAAAGTCAAAATAGGTCACAAGTCTCAACAAAATTTACATTGAATTTATAAATAATTTATCATAAGAAATTACTATCGAATAATAATCTGCCCTGAGACAATATGTCAATATGTCAATATCTATATAAATGGGATCCGGATCATGATGGTGTGTTTGGCAACCAACACTACTTCAATGATTGGTACAATAATTTGCTAATCACATTGCAAATTATGCTGATAATTCCTTTATTTCGTATTCATTGCATATAAAATATAAAAATTATGATATCATAATTTATGTTTGATATATTAAATACAAAATATATTTCTTAGTTTTATTAAAATTGTAAATCATATTCTTTTATTCCTAATCATTTTAAAAAGCCCAAAATCTTCCATCCTTGCCGCAGCAAATTGGGACAGGGGATACCAAAGAAAAATTAATAAAAAAAAAATAGAGGGAAAGAAAAATTTTGAGACCTTTAAAAATCCACTTTGAAATGTACGAAATAAAAAAAAAAAAAAAAAAAGCGAAAAAAGGCTAAACGATGTGCAAATATTTAAGTTTCCTAAGCTCCATTGATTAAGGCAAGGGCATCAGCCTCGGTTGGAAGGGCAGGGATTGCTCCCTTTTTGGTTGTCGTGATGGCTCCACATGCATTTGCGAATTTCAGTACTTCCCTCAATTTTGATTCATTCTGTGAATTAAAAACCCCACCGCCCATTTACAACAATTTAATCAAAATATAGTAAAAAATATTATATGGCTTTTTTTTTTTACCTCAAGAATGGTTGGGTCGTCAACAATCTTGCATAGCAGTGCACCAACAAAGGAGTCCCCAGCGCCAGTTGTATCCACAGTATTTACATGGAAAGCATCCACTGCCCCGCAGAAATTCTACATTTGAGAAAACAAGAAGAAGATTTTAAGTTTTATTTTGTCAGGATCCTTGTGTGATTGGAACAATACTCAAAACACTCTCAGCCAGCAAACAAACGTATCAAGTCATAATGTAATCGTTATACATTCAATGTGAAAATAAAATATAGATCTTAAAACGCCAAAACAAGACCTTTAAGTAAATCTTACCATTTGTATATTCGTGTTTATTTATTTCACATAAAATAAGAATGAGAAAAAAATTGAAAAAATTAAATACTATTCAAAATCATAGTGCTTGATTCAATTTGGATTAGTTTTTTTTATTCAATTCAAATCAAATTTAAATATTAAATATATATATATATATATTAAGTTCAGATCGAATTTCGAATTGAGATATGAAAAAAAAAAAAAAAACGAATTATATATATTTTAAATTTTTATAAAATAAAAATAATAATTTTATATTAAAATCTACATAAATATATTAAAATTTTATATTAAAACAATATATAAAAAATAAAAAATAAATATTAAAAATAAATAAATCGAACCGAACTGATAAAATTCAATTTAATTTAAATCGGATTATACAAAGATTGAGTTTAAATTTGATTCAGATTTTATAAATTCATAATATTATGTAATATCCGAAAAAATCGAATTGAATCTAATTTGTTTCAAACCATTATCGCCTCTAATATAAAACACAAAAATTACCGTATCATAATTTATATTTATACGCCAAACAATTTTTATTTTTATTTTTATCAAATCCATATAAAATTTTTTAGTGCTTGCTCTACCTTCGAGACCCCCTTTTTTAAACTCCATATAATCAAAGTGACAGTTAAAAGTCATTACCAAACCAGCAACGGATAAAGGCATCACCTACCATGGTAGGTAAGAGTCGAAATTACTAGAAGTAAATAAGCATCAGCTAAAAGAGACAAAAGGCTTAAATTTAGCATACCTTGGTGTAATATCTGCTACCCTTTTCACCAAGGGTTACCAAGAGAAGCGTCAAGTTGGGGTGCCAAAGTTTCATGGCAGTTTCATCGTCGATTTTGTCGCTACCAGTGAGGAACTCTAGCTCAACATCACTGACCTTGATGATATCTGCCTTATCCCATATGGACAATATCTGTTTCTTTGCCTCATCAGCTGAAGGCCAAAGTGGCAGGCGAAGGTTTGGATCATATGAGAGCAATGCACCTGATTGTTTGGCCACTTCCATTGCCTTTAAGTGAGCCGATCTGCATGGCTCCATGATCAAACTTATTGATCCATAATGAAACACTTTGGCCTGCACAAAAACACAAACAGAATAATTCAATTTAATAATACTCTTAAAAAAATCCACCTTAAGTCCTTCCAAAACAAAAAATTAAAAGAACTTTGTTGAGAAAATTGCAACACAAGCAAAATTCTAATAAAAACTAAATCTGTTAATTTTAGACACAACACAAAAAAATGATATAAAAAAATGATGCTGTTTAAAATAACAAAAAACCATATATATGTTTAAAAAAAAATGTGTTTCATGTTTAGGGTAGGCAATAATACCTTAATCTGTTGGATTCCAACTCAAAACGATCTGATCTGATCTTATAAGATCTTATTTTTTTTAAAATCAAATTTCAAGCCAAGACGAATTTTAGGCAAACCTCTTGTCCTAGTATATATAAAAAATATTTTTACTATTTATTTAATTTTATATTTATATATATTATATTAATAAAATTATTATACAAAATTTAAAATATTAACTTAATAAAACACTATATATATAATTAAAATATAATTTATATTATAAAAAATAGATGAATATTATATTAAATTAAAATTATTAAATTAATTTCTGATCAAGTTGTATCATTTGCAATTTTATACATATATGAGTCAAGTCGGATCAAGTATGAAAAAATAATATTTTAATGTCAGATCGAGTTCAAATATTTATTTTATAAAATTGGATTAGATTCAAAACGAACAAAAAAACCTCATCCCGTTACCATCACTATTTATGTTTGAATGCAAATTATGACATAATTTTTATATTTTACACATAGTTGAAACCAAACAAACACAACAAGATCACTCAAATTGCCAGACTAAAAAAAAGGTATAAAATCCAATTTGTTAGGTAGGCCAATTATAGGCTAACAAACAATGAAAAATCATGTCGGCTAATGCAACTTATCACCTAAGAAACATTCAATTTTCATTTATCTGTGTCATAAAAATAGAAAATGATTTATACATTCCTTCACTTCACTCTCTCTCCCATCCATTATCTCATTAATTTCTATTGCTAATGAAATTTTCTAAGAAAACTAGGAATTTTATTCATGCTATAATTACAAATTCATTCAACTTGGTAAGGAGGAATAATGAATCATTAGAATCGACCATTTATGTATTGGTATTTCGTGTTAAATATGTGTCAAATATAAAAATATATAAATTAAAATATCATAATTTAAGTGACAGGCAGAATATAAAATTTAATTATTTATTTTTGTCAAATTCATATAATTTTTATCAAAATTTAATTGTTTTAAGTTGTATATGTGTTGTATATAAAATTATCATATCTAGGAATCACTATCTGAAAAACTGAATTCCGGATCTACCCTTGCCCAACAATGATTTCCTAATTAGCCATTGGATGGGGTCTCATAATACAAGGCCATGATTGTAAATTCAAAAAAGGCCAAAAGGAAATTACACAAAGGAAAATCGACATAGACGGCCTGTGTTCCCTTGATTTCAAGGTTGTCGTTACCAAGCTGAGCAGGTGAACTCACGTGATAAACTGGCTTTAACGTACGTGCAACGTGGACGGGTGTCGAGAAAATAGATCGGGAAAAAATTGACAAAAATTCAGTGCTTAGGACTTTAGGTACTCAGTATGGGTCCCACAGATATAATTATATAGAAAAATGACATGTCAGCTTTAGATAAAAGCTACCCTCACATTATAGCGCGTGACTATCACTGTTCTCATTCTTCTCCCAGTCTTTAGAAATAACATCGTAGCTTTTTCTTGTTTCTTTTAAGCCAACAGAAGAAACGAAGGAGAAGAAAATTTATAGATTTATGGAGTTCAAGGTAAAAGATGATAAGATCACTTACAGATCTGATAAGATCAAGATTCAGTTCCTCCGGCTTCAGCAGCATATCGGCACTAGGATTCCTATAAAACATGACTCACGCTCTCCATCGGCGCGTAGCGTCACGAAGGCAAGAGCGGTTCAGCGCCTTGGTCAAACAAGATCCCGCCGCCAGTGACGCCGTTTTGCTTAAGAATGTCGGCGAGCATGCGACCGAATTCGTCGTCGCCGAGTTTCCCGACGAAAGATAACTTACCGCCTAGTCTGGCTACTGCGATCGCCACGTTGGCTGGGGCTCCACCGGGGGCTTTGAGGAAGCCAGGAGCCTCGGCTAAAGAAACGCCAGAGACGGTGGGGACAAAGTCGATGAGCATCTCACCAAAGCTGACAATTAAGCTCTTACCTGAAACCACACCGTTTGTTGCCATAGCTTCTGGAAGAGAGGAAAAAATACGAGAGATTTTGATTCAAAAGGGCGAAACGAGAATTACTTACAAGAAGAAAGCAAAGGAGAGAGTGATGGGATGTTTATATAATGGAAATAGCCAATAAAAAAAGGGAAAATTGATTATTTCTCAATTTCAATAATATTATTTATTAATGAATTATATATGTTATTTAATATTAAATATTAAATATATTTATAAATATTACATCATTAAAATAAAATTTTAATATAATTTGACTAAAATTTATTACTTAAATAAGTATGTCAAGCACAATTTAAGCTCAATTCTAAAAAATAAACAAAATAAAATACGTTTTATCCTAACTTATAATTATAGTTTTTATGTGTATATATACATATAATTTTATTTAAAAAATAAAAAGGAAAAAATGTAATAATAAAATGAGAAGGGAATTTTCTACTCATTAAGTCATAAATATAATAATAAAATGTTTTTTGAGCAAATGGAATTTTTTTTTTTAGGGATACATTGCTTTCCAAATTTTTGAGTGAAAAGGAGTGATGTAATCACATGGCATGCGTTCCTTTTAATAATATTACTATATGAAATATTGAAAACAACTTTATAATATTTAAAAACTTTTATTCTTATTTTTTTATTGTATATTTTAAAAATTTAAAAATTAAAAAAATGATTGAAACCCATGCCTTTGCTTAGGCTCATCTCGCAAGATCTCATGCGTAGAGCCAATTATTTGATAAAAAAAAAAAGAGAATATGTTTGGATTCTAGTAAAAGCAAAATAATAAAAAATAAGTGGTTTTATCAGTAGTCACGACAGAATTTTTCATGCCGACAAAGCTTCAAACCATATGCACTCATAGGGTTTTATCAAATTTATTAAAATGTTATATAAAATTTATAGTTTTAAGTGATGAAATAATTGTTGATTATAATTGATTAATTATAATATTACGTGAAAATAGTTAAAAGTGAAATGTTTTTTTTATTCAATTTCAAGTTTGAATTATTGAATTTTTTTATTACATCAAATTGATTGGGGTTTGATTTGAAATTATAACGAATTTGAATCAAATTGGATCATATGTAAGGTTTATAATCGATCCATAAAAATGTATGATTGGTTATTTAATTTAAGATTAATATCATGATTAATTTTTAAATTATAATAAAATATTTAATATGATATTTGAAGTTTAAAAATTTTTAATATGATGCATGAATTATAAATATATTAATTAATATAATTAATTTTAAAAAATAACATATAATAAATAATTATTTAAATATCTTATTTAATAATAAATTTATAATAAATTTAAATATTATATTAAAAATTTTTTAAATTTAAATATTAAATTAAAAATTTTAATATAATTTAAAAATTATTTATGATATTCGCACTTTAATTTATCATGAGCATATATTATAGTTTGCACGTGTCGTCTGCCTCCTAGGATCTTGAATGTTCAGTCTGATGCGGCAAACGGCCAAAAACCTTCGTAACAAAAGCGGGTTGGATTTTGCAGGCAAAGCTGAGTCTTTTGCCCCAATCAAGTGCAGGCTGATCCAGCGAGGCCAAGTCCAATCCATCGAACACGTTTCACCATTCAATTAGCCCATCGAAAAACTTTGACTTTGTCTCTCCCTTATCCAATCTACTCTTGCCACGTAATGTTCTGTTGCGTCCCTAAATTACGAAAGCTGATCTCGCACCCTCAAAGTTTTGCCCTTTTTTTCGATACCTAATCGATCATCACAATTTCATAAAATTTCAAGTAAGTTTTTTTTTTTTTTTTATAATTTTTCTCGTTTAGTCAATTGTAAGATATATAGATTCCAGTTTTTTAATTAAATTTTTGATTAATTTTTCAATGAAATGTGCGAATGGTTGAACATATATATTTTTCTTTTTTTTTTTCGTTTGAATTATTAATTTATCCTCTGTTTGGTTTGCCAAAAAATGTACGTGTAAGCAAAAAAGTTTAGAGTTTGAATTTTTATTAGGTTTTATTTTGTTTTGTTTGTTCTGGTAATTTTATTCTTTTTTTCTAAAGAATGTAAGTAGCAAGTAAATGACAGCATTATGGTCTCGGATTGTAGAATTATTTGATGATATTAAGGGAATTTTTTGTTTAGAATCTGTTTGGTGGTTGGTAAAATAAAGGAAAATTAAAGGGAAAAAAAGAAGGAAAGAAAAGGAGCAAATTTGAATTCCAGAGTTGACTTCAACTAGAACTCAAGAAATAAACTTTATTAACTCAGGCTTTTAAACTTTTGTATTTGTTTTATGTTCCTTTTTTTTTTTTTTTTTAATTTTGCCTTAGCTTTCTTGGCAATCAGACTGATTGTAGGTTCCATTTGAGATCAATTTGTTAAGTTTAATTTGTGTTTTCTTTTCCAGTTTTCCTTAATTTTCATCTTGGATTGAATCTATGCTCTAGTTGGTTGATCAGAAACCGGAAAAAGAAAAACAAACTGAAAAACCAACTAATTATGTTTCTCTGCATGCTTTTCTTTTCATCTTCTAGCAATAATTAGAAAAATGCTTGTTCTTGCAGTGGAGTGTGAGGTTCATGGTGATGTTAATGGTGGCATGGTACTGAATTCGGTCCAAGTGGAGGCTATTAGCGTGGAAAATGAAAATGAAACCGGAGAAAATCCTGTTGAAGGAGCTTTTCAACAGGGTCTTAATGAAAAATTGGATCCAACTTCTCGTGGAATGGTTGATATCCCAGAGGGTATTCCAACTGATGAGCCTTATGTGGGTCAGGAGTTTGAGTCAGAGGCAGCTGCACATGCATTTTATAATGCATATGCTACAAGGGTGGGATTCATCATTCGTGTAAGCAAACTTTCCCGTTCAAGGCGTGATGGATCTGCTATTGGTAGGGCACTTGTTTGTAACAAAGAGGGTTTTAGATTGCCTGACAAGCGAGAAAAAATTGTGAGGCAAAGGGCAGAGACGAGGGTTGGATGCAGGGCAATGATTTTGGTGAGGAAAGTAAGTTCTGGTATATGGGTTATCTCAAAATTTGTGAAGGAGCACACTCATCCTCTGGCACCTGGAAAAGGTCGGAGGGATTGCATTTATGATCAATACCCGGTCGGTTTTCACCCTCTGCTCATGTCTGTTGATATATATTCTTCCACTATATCTGTTAGTGAGTCGAGGTTGATTATTTGCATGGTTGAAATGTTTTTTTATAGAATCTCCAGGTTAGGAGGTAGGAGTAGCTCGAATTACATGCAAACAGATGTTTTCCAGACTGTACATGTATTTACACTTAGATTTACTGAACTTTAAAATATCAGTTTACGTTCTTTTTTAGTTTGGAAAAGGTAAATAACCCCTAGGGTGAAGTGTTTTCTTTTACTTTTGTCTGAATATCTATGACCTCCTTGCTAAAAATAAATGATGATGGATCTAAAGAAATGAAGATGATAGTTTGTATTAGCCTGGGCCAGTTCCTTCTTGTTGATTGAAAATTGAACCTTTTTTCTAGTTGGGGATGAAGATGTTTAACAAATGGTGTGTAGAGGGAGAGAGGGTGGAAGAATGTGTATATACTAGATTCCTAGAAAATGCAGAGCATTTTCATTGTGTTTGATAAGGGGATCCTTGACAACTAGCATGTAAATGGCTTTGATTTGTTATCTTTGCATACTTTGAATTAAGGTGGTTTTAACTTTTAAGTCCTATTCAAAGACACTGATTGTGATCTGCTGGGCTAATAATGACATCTATTAAATAATGATGATATAAGTTATATCAGAAATAGCAGAACATGGACAGGAAATATCTGGTCAAATTGCTTCTATTAAAATGCGGTTGTGCTTCTTTATTTAAGTTGTAGTTTATGCATGTTTTTTCGTTGTAGGTTTCTAGCATAACCATCCATGCCTATTTCTGTTGGTGTTGTTCATCTTTCTTTGAAATTGGAAATAATCTGAAAAATATTCTCACATAATAACACTTTCGAAAAGATATGTGTTAACTGTGAAAGTAGTATCTTAAATAGCTGGTTATCTTTTCTGCTTAGCAGGAGATTGTTAAAGTGCTCTTAATATAAATTATGGTCCAATGTTAAGTGATATTTAGTGGGATTAAGTGTAAGAAATAATGGATGAATTGATAAAACAAAATGCATAATTTAAATGAAATTTGCTTCTAATTTGGCTTTTTATGGCAACTAATATAAAGTTCAGAATTGCTATTATAAACTTCTATTGAAATGAGAATAATGCGCTTATAGTGGCCTAGGTCTTTCTCAGAATGTACAGAATATGTTACTGTTATTGCTGATGATTCTGATATAGCTTTGGTACAACACATGTCTTTAAACTATTGAGGTAAGTCCAGAATGCCACTGCAAGAGTGAAATTTAATGAAGTGAAAGTGCTTGGAAATAGGTCTGCTTTAAAGGGCGGCATTGAAGCTCTTTCTTGTTATTAATCGCCATCCCACAATATATGGTCTCTTTTGAATTTTCGTGAGTTCTTAGAACACATAATTGCTACCAGGGAACTCTACATTTGATTAGACTTCAAAAAGGTCCATTGATAATAACTCTGTCCCTTTCCATAGTAAAGGATACTGTAGGATTCTTTTCATCAATGACAATGTAGGCTTTGATTTTTTGTTAGTTGACTCATCTCGGCGCATTACATAATGGTAAGAGGGACAGATATTATGTCACCAAGGGAATATATGGCATTTGAAGTGCTAGCATGTTAGGTAAGAATTAAAATTAAAAATTTCTAAATTTACAGTTAAAGTAATTTATTAATCTATGCCTGCCTTCCTCCATCCCGTGCCTTCAAACAAATGACAGATATTTTGTTCCTGTATGCTTTTGTGCGTATGTTAAGGTCTGATAGGAGCTTGTTGGGCCTAACTGGAGCTGTAGTAACAAATGGTTTTGACATAGAGCTTTTTGGAAAGTGTCATCCTATTGAAATTATGATGTTTATTGTGATTGACACTTTCTCGTGCAATTGTTTATTGTGATTAGCACTTTCTTTGAACCCAATTTTCTCCAGAAAGGTCTTAACAGCTTACATCCTAAGCTGCAGTAGTGGAGACCTCTCTATATTCCTTCCTAGTGTTGCTCTTATGTGATCTTGTGCATTTTACCGGTAACATACCACTTCGAACCCTTAAGAATGGAGTTAAAAATTTCTTTGAATCTAGGCTTAGGGCGTCATTTAGCCTTGTATCTTCCTCTTGGTGTTACTCTCGTAGCCTTCTACTTCAAGAATTTGGGATTGTCTCAGTAGATATAATTGCTGTATTTTGTGTATTAATTGATCAAATGGCCATTTTCACCTCAGTAATTTTGTCATTGTATCACTCACGTGTGCTGTTCTTTTTACAAAATGGCCTCTGGATTAAGCATCTGCCCAACAAGTTAACATTAAATGCTTTTATCTTGAAGTTATGAGTTCCAATATTGTTATTCATTCTCTGTACTTAAACTTGCTTTATCTGTCCTTTTTTTTTTTGACCGAATGAACATAATAAAATCCGAGAATTAACACAGCAACTCGCCATTGAGAAAAAGAGAGCTGCAACCTATAAAAGACATCTAGAATTGATTTTTGAGCAAATTGAGGAGCACAATGAGAGTCTGTCAAAGAAGATCCAACGCATAGAAGACAATGTGCGGGAAATGGAGAACAAAGAGCAGCAGAGCCGTGTATAGTTCCCGGGTAGCTTCTCATACAGTACTCAAATGTATATAGGACCAAAACATCATATAGAGTTACGCTGTTGGGTATAGGCCATTGTTTATATGATTTGGTTTGCTTTGAAAGATCACATCCTGATATCAATCTGGATCTTTGTTAGAATCTAGTCAGTTCCATTGCTGGAATGCCTTGTATAATTTATGCTTCCAAATTTGAACCACATGGTTAGTTAGTTGGATAGACTTCGGTCCATTGGCGAAGGCAGTAAATTGGTAAAGGACGAGCTAAATAATGATTTCAAAGGAGAAGAGGGGATCAAAATGGTAATTCGGTGGGACTGATCGTTGAAAAAGAAGGGAGGTAAAAAACTTTTGAGGGGACCATGGCCCCTTGCCTGCCCCCTCTAGCTCTGCCCCTGCTTTGGTCAGTCAATGTACAGTCTTTTGGGGCCAGCCTTGTGCAGTTGTGTGAAAGGTGCAAACATAATTGGCATCGGGTGTATTTTTAGGTGGTTGAGTTATTCCATTATGTTTTTTTTTGCTTTTTTGGTAATTTTATTTTTGAGTAAAGGTTTTCTTACAATTTGAGTGAACTTTGTCAGTCTTTAATGTATAGCATCCAAATGATTTTATTTGTAATCAGTTACATTTTACATGTTGAGACTTTTGAATATTGTAGTAATTTGCACTTGTTTTTCATCCATTCTTACCGTTTTCGGTACCAGAAGACCATGTAGTAAATAAAAAGGTTGATCTTGGAAGCCACAGCTCGTTTTAAGTAAAAATGATAACAGAGCGAATCTTCGCTATTTTGAGATATTTAAATCTGAATTAGTTTAATTTTTATTATATTTAAATTCATTTAATTATCCGGTTAAATTTAAAATCATTATTAAAATTTTATTTAATTAAATAAACATTATCGCAAATATCAAATTTTGTAAAGATATTTATTTATTTAATTTTTTTATTAAAATATAAAATAAAAAAATTAAATTTAAAATTTAAGTTCACTTCTAAATTTTTTACCAATTCACTTTTAATTAATAACAAAAAAAGTTATTTGTTAAAGTTTGATTGTTTAACAAGTATAAAATTTTATATATTTTACACGTATAAAACGATAATATATTAAAATATCCAATATCATTCATTAAAAAATTTAAATGAATTCAAATATCAAATAATTAAAAATACTATTTGAAATCTATCTATTTCCGTCACAAATTGTAAATTTATTATTCGAATGCATTAAAAAATTAATAATTAATAAATAGAAATTTAAATCTAACAAAATAAATCTTTTATATATATATAAATTTATTTTGTATTTATTGTGAATGGTGAAATCAAGGGTGACTTTATTTTTAAAATCTTAAGCTGTGGACGCAAGACAAAATTTAAATAAAAATTTTCAAAAAGTTTTATTTTTAAAAAAATTAATAAAAATTTAAATTAATAAATTAATAGAATATAATAAAAAAATTAATAATATATAAAAAAATTTATTAAAAATATCATTTATAATTTAAATTTAATAAATATTTATTTAATAATAAAATTTTATTAGTATTTTCATTAAAAATATTTATTTTTATATAAAAATTTGCTAAAAATTTAAAAAACTTTTACACTTAATTTATAAAAAAAATTTAATTTAATTATTTTTAATAAAAAATTTCAACATTTTCACTAAAAGAAATTTATCTTAAATCTTTCCCGCGCACGCAATCCCAAGCAGGAAAGACGACAAAGATTTTATGTAATGGAGTGTACAGGATGAGATGGGCGGCTCCATTAACCAATGCAGAAAGCACGTGAACAGATTCCTACTTTTGCATTGTATCTGATCTGACCCTGCTGATTCTTGTCTTCAAAGCCTTTTCACTTATTCCCACAATTTTTTTTTTTTAATCTTTTGCTGATGCTAATCCTAGTCAGATGAACCACTGGAATTCGTGCTTTCCATTAATGGCTACAACCTTTTCTCTATATATATACGGGGGTGAAATAACTTGTTAATTTGTTCATTAATTGAGAGATCCTAGCTACGCTAGAGATGGAGAAGAAATCGTTGGGGATTTTTTTTCTGCTGCTCATTGTGTTAGCCGCCCGTAAGTATAATTTCATGTAGTTTGTAGCGGCGAATTCAAGATTTTTTAATATTCATTTATAATATATATAAAAAATTGATGACGGAATTATCAAATTTTTATCAAAATTTTTTGTTGTTCAATTTTTGGAATGTTCATGAACAATTTGCCTTTGCTATGACCTGATATACATTTGTTTGATGCAGAATGGGGGGTGCAGCCAGGTGAGGCAAGGGTTTGTGAGTCAAAGAGCCATAAGTTCAAAGGTCCATGCATGGGTGACCACAACTGTGCGTACGTCTGCAGAAATGAAGGTTTCTCCGGCGGCAAATGTCGTGGACTCCGTCACCGCTGCTTCTGCACTAAGATTTGCTGATCACTGAAGAAACTTAAATTTTGTAGCTTTTGGCTTTAGGGTTTCATGCATGCATGCATGTCTCAACGTTTTAATAAGGTATTATATCTTCCAAGTTACATCTTTGGGAGATATTTTTCTTTCTCGGTTTGGTTTTTGGTTTAGTTTATTATGTTCTTCAGTTACTGTAGTGAAACTGCATTTGCAGCCACTTCATTAATGCATCTGGTTAGCCACCATGAAAATCTGTTGATGCCATTGATGATCACTTTTCCATGTTCTCCATCATCAAAATTCCAAGTTATTTTACCTATGAATAACTGGCATAATTGCAGGTGTACGTGACAATTCTCTTTTTAAAAAGATTTGAATTTTTTTCAAAGTAACACCCTTAAACCCTTAAGTTTATACAATAATTTTTAAGAGATGATATTTAATAATTTAAAAATATAAATCTCAAGTCAAAAATTTTTTTATACAAAGAAGACCTTAACTTAAAATTGAAAAAGAACTGTTAGTATTAAAATTTGACTTCAAAATTAATATATATTACTTTTAAAAAATAATTATATAAATCAATTAAACGAAACTTTTTATTCTCTGCCAACCCTCTTCCATATACTGTAGTCTTTGTCTATAAAAAAAAGTTGAATTTGAATCTCTTGCTCATTTAAAGAAAAAATCTCTTCCATTTTCCTAAAAAGTAATTTTAGATTGTTTTGGTTTGCTAATTTTGTTGACAAAAATTTATAAAGTTCAAGAAAAAAAATTGTTTTGTGTATTAAATATTAAATATTTTAATTTATTTTATAAAATTTATATTTCATGATTTTTAATATTAGAAATATAAAAATATAAATAGTAATTTTAAACTATAAAAACAGTATTAAACATAATATTGAAAAAAAAAAAATCGGCCGGGAAGAAGCATCTCAATGAGAAAAAAAAAAAAAAACAGAAATAATTGAATGAGAGAGTAGTGACATGGATTGGGCAATATCATGGTGAAGGAAAAACATCTACATTAGCAAAAGATGTTATTCAATCAATTTTTAGTCAATTGGTTTATATAAGGTTATGAAAGTTATAGCTTTACTTAAATAATTTTTTATATTTTTATTGTATTTAAAATGTCTTTAATTTTTAATTTGTATTCAAATAAACATTTAATCCTTAATTTAAGTTTAAATAAATCCTTAACATAAATTAATTTTTATTTAAAATAATAATTTATTTGGATACAAATTAAAAAATAAAAACTTATTTTAATATAAAAAAATATATGAACTTATTTAAAAAAGTAAAATAGTTTACAGGTTCTTTAGTATGCCTTCATATAATTATTTTTGAGTGATGTTTAGTAAGGGATAATAACCTTAAAAATATGATAATTAGATTATAGTGTTTGATAAACATATGGTGATCTTACATGATCATGATTTTGGGTCTTTGAAAGTAATTAAATTATTACTTTGGTAGATGATCTAATTTTTGTCTAAAAGGATAAAAAATTTTATCATTGAAATAAAGTAATATTTAAAATTAAAAATAGTTAATATCACTCATTTGATATATAAATTAAAAATATACTTCTTGAAATTATAATTGTTTTATATTATAAATTTTTTATATTTTAAAATTAATATTTAGTGTAATAAATTCAAAAGTAAATTATGTTTTTTTTTTAACTTTCTTTTAAAATTTTATAAATAATATAATATTTGTTTTTTTTTTTTTTGGTGTTGTTGTGATTTTAATAGATTAATTTTATTTTTTAATTCAAATATTTTTTACATATATTTATAAAAATTAATTTATTTATCAACAAATTTGTTAATTTAATATTCAAATTTTTTATTATGAAGTAAATAGAATATTATTAATATTTTATAAATTATTATTTTAGACAATATTAAACTCATTAATTATGTAACTGTTACCATATATATAGTTGTTTTGGCACTTTTAAATAAAATAATATTTAATTTTTAGTAATACCAAATACTTAGATCTTTAATTCTTAAAAATTAATAATTATTAACCAAATAAAATAATTCTAAATTATGAGTGATAAAATCACATCGATAATTAAATAAGTTAATATTTGACACACTGTCAATATAAAATTTTAATAAATAAACGGGATTAATAAAGTGTCACATGTCCTTTAAATATATTTAAAAAATAAAAACTCTAATTAAAAAAGAAAATGCGATATGTGTCACATTTTTAACACTCCTTGTATAATTAAAATTTTACACGATAATGTATTAAATACTAAATCTAATTAAATTAATATTACAATCTTGAAAATAATAACAAACATTACCTTAACAGTGTGTTTGGATTGAAGGGAGAGGAAGAAAAGGAAAGGAAAGTAAAGTAAAGGAAACAAAACTCTCATTTCTTTATTTGGATAAATTTTTAATTTAAAGAAAGGGAAAGAGGTAGAAATTAAATAACTTTTGGTTTCTCTTGTAAACTAAATTTTTTTAATACCCCAATTTGGCAGAAAAGCTAGGAAAGGAAGGTTGAAAAATATTTTTTTTATAAAAAGACTATTATGTCTATCTTTTTATTAATACTAAAACCTAATAAAAAAACCTAAGCAGATCACAATTATCCTGTAATTTTTTTAAAGCCATTTCTTTTTTCAAGTAAGTTTCACATATCTCTTCCAATATAAATTTTTTTTTTATAATTTTTTGGTGATTTGATTTCGATGAATAGTTGAATATGAATAGATATATTTTTTAGGTTTATAAGATGACAAACAAGCTCAAAATCCATCAATGCATGTTTGTAAAATATCTTCTTATTTCACTTGATTAAAAGCCATTGATATAGCAGCAATTTTGAGACTAGACAAGATAATAAACATATCATGGTTCAAGAGTGCTCTAAAATCACATGCAATAAAAGATTATAATTGAAAAAATTATTATAATGAATTATTTTCTTTTTTTTTTTTTACTCTTTATCCAAACAATGGTTGTTAGAATTCATTTTCTTTCCTTTCTTTTATTAATTTTAATTATCCAAATAAAAGTTATATATATCTTTTCCTTTCCTTTAGAAAACTTTCTTTTCCATTCTTTCCTTTCATTTCCTTTTCTTTATTAATATTTATCCAAACATGGTGTAAGAGTTGATATCAAATAGATCTAAAACTCAAATCCCATCATTTACGGTTTTCCTTTTTTTCTACTTTGAACTGCAGACTCATTGTAAAAAGGATGCTCTTAATTTCCAAGAATCACTAAAACAAAGACCAAGTTACAATACCAATAAGGTACTATCAATTTCCAATACCAACAACATTATAACAATACGGAAATTAAAACAAGATATTAGCAAGCAAATGATACCACTAATTATTTATCTGATTCATCTCATTAATAAGTTATCAACATCTGATTCATGAATTGTATATATAATCTATACACTGATAGTATATCAAATATAAATTTTAAACACTGACAATATATCAAATATAAATTCTAAAGAGTTTATATTTGGTACATTATTAGTATATAGATTTTATACACTATAAGTATATAAATTTTATCCATTATAAGTGAATCAGATAATGACAATTTATTAATAAGCAAATATCAATCATTATAATAAATATACATAAATTAAAAATTTTTAAAAACTTATTTATTAATGAAGTATTATCATCTGATTTATTTTATTAATAAGTTTTCAAAATTTGATTCACTGACAATGTATAAAATCTATAATATAATATTGTATAAGTTTTAATTATTTCCTTTTCTTATGCGTTCATATTTGTCCGTACACTTACACAATTCTTCTACAAGGCATCCAATGCTTTATCTGAACTCACCCATTTGGATGGCAGCCAATGCAGTCTCCCTGAGCTGCACGGCTCGAACCCTCTCTTCTCTGACCCTGTTCATGCTCACCGAGTCAGGCAAGAACTGAGCCAGTTTGGTTGCATAGGGACACTGTCTAAACTCTCCTAAACTCGGATGGCCACTCCCAATTCGTTAACCGATAGCTTGGCATTGTCGAAGTGGTCACTTGCATTGGCCATGCGAGCAACAACACTCCACTAAGGAGTCCCTCAAGTACTGAATTCCAGCTGCAATGAGTCAAGTATGAACCAACGGCTCGATGCTACAGAATCGACAACTGAGGAGTCCACCCTTTGATCATTAGTCCCCTCCTTGCCACACGCTCTTCAAACCCTGGGGGAACCACGTTTTGGTTGTCACCATTTTGTTTTCCTTTCATTGGATCCTTGACAGCCCAAATGAAACACACCATACTCTCCTCCGATGCGAAGACTACCTCCCCCATCTGCTGTTTGGTCAAGGTAATCTGGGATTCGAATCCAACGTAGACTATTGATTTGTCAACTTGACAAGGATCAAACCATGCCAAGACTTGATCTTGCGGCATTGAGCTTGGTCCGCCCCTCTTATTGGATTCCTTGCTGCTAGCTTTTATTGGTAGCAAAGGCCTAACCGCCCACAGCCGATCATGTTGGGTAAACTCCTCCTTGATCATATTCATTTTATTCCCATCTAGCTCAGTAAACGAGTTGAAAATGGGACTCCAACTTCCTACGTATCCAAGATGTACCCTTGTGGATAAAGCATCATCCCTAACTTTCAGGGCCTTAACCATCATGGAAACATTGAATTTGCATTTAGAACACTGAAACTCATATTTTGGATGCTGAGATGAGAGGCAAGTGAATTAACCCAAGAACTAAGTAACATATCAGACAGAATAGCAATAGGAGGATATCGTGGGCGTGAAACCATTGAACCAGAGGATCATAAAGTTTACGCAAGGTTGTTACGAAGGGGCAAACGAAGGAGTAACATCTTGCATATTTTCAACTCTAGGTGGGATGGAAGAGTGAGAAGGGAAAGGAAAAACTAAGGTTTGAACGTTGGACGAAGAGTGGAAAGAGAGAAGAGGATTTAGATAGTGAAGGTTTTTGGATGTGACCAGGATTGTGACTGTTAAGCCACGAAGGAGGAGCTGGTGGATCAGATCCATATGGGGAAGAATGTGGCCACCAGCTGGGAATGGGATTGTCAAGATGTGGATGCCATTGCAATCACCTTGAGTGGCCATTGAGATTAGTTGTAGCTTATACAAAACTAAAGATGAAGACTAAATAATGTTAAGAAAATAGTACCATCTGTCAATTCCTCTATGTCGTACATATTGTTTTGTTAATAAAACTTTGGATTTTGGATTGAGGAAAAATCCACTAAATTAACAAGCTAGATACTGTGTATATTAATTATTATTAGATTATAATCAAAGCTATTGATTAATAAAATTTGCTTACCATGTGATAGTTATAAAAAAGAATTAACCTTCACCATTCAATTCGAGATCTTCAAATACCATTCATGTAAGTATGGTCGAGAGTCGAGAAGAAATCTTGTCTGTAAGATTTAGTGGCAGATCCAAAGAGTATTTTGCGAAGGTGTCCACTTCTGAATTATAATATATAAAAAATTATAAATAGATTTAATAATTCGATTGACGGAAAAGATATTTAAGAAAAATTTTTTACTCAAAATTTTTTGTTTTTCAAGTGTACACTTCATCATCAAGAATGGAATCGCCATTAGTAAGATTATCTTATTTAAACAATATAAACAAGGATTATAAAATTGGGTTGTGTCATGTAACTTATCAAACATTGGATTATTCATTAACAACATAATATTTCCAGTCTTTGATAAGTTACATGCAGGGCAGACTTTCAATAAATCACACAGGCGGTAATGCAGACTTTCGATATATAAATTAGTTGTCAATGTTCGGCATATATTTATCCTTAATTAGTTGTGAATGTTTAATTATTAATGTATCTCCAGCTTTTGCACATCAGGACTTTGCATTGATTTATTATATATCCCCTGTTAATGAACCTGCATGTATTGGTATTCTGGTCTCTTCAATAGCTAATAAATGATTCTTATTTCTCGATCCACAAAGGTGATTAATCTAGTTGGTGAAGAGAGTAACTTCTGTCTGATATGTTACTTAGTTCTTGGGTTAATTCGCTTGCCTCTCATCTCAACATCCAAAATCTGAGTTTCAGTGTTCTCGATCCAAATTCAATGTTTCCATGGATGGTTAAGGCCCTGAAAGTTAGGGATGATGCTTTTTCCACAAGGGTACATCTTGGATGTATAGAAAGTTGGGGTCTCATTTTCAACACCTTTACTGAGCTAGATGGGGGTAAAATGAATATGATCAAGGAAGACTTTAGCAAACATGATCGGCTGTGGGCGGTTGGGCCTTTGCTACCTATAAAAGCTAGCAGCAAGGAATCCAATGAAAGGGGTGGACCAAGCTCAATACCGCAAGATCAAGTTGTGGCATGGCTTGATTCTTGTCAAGTTGACAAATCATTAATCTACGTTGGCTTCGGAACCCAGATTACCTTGACCAAACGGCAGATGGAAGCGATAGCCTCCACATTGGAGGAGAGTGGGGTGCGTTTCATTTGGGCTGTCAAGGATCCAATTATTAAAAATTAAATATTATTTTATTTAAAATTGATAGCTAAAACTATCATAATACATATTGTAATAGTTATATAAATTAATGATTTTAATATTTTTTTAAAATAATAATTTAGGTAATATTCTATTTTCTTTATAATAAAATATAATAAAATATTAAATTAATAAATATATTTATGGATAGATAAATTAATTTTTATAATTTAAATTATGTAAAAATATTTAAATTAAAAAATGAAACTAATCTATTAAACTCATAACCAAAAAAAAAAAATATTATATTACATAAACTATTAAAATAAAAGGTACAAAAAACACAACTTATTTTTTAACTTGTTACAATGAATATTAATTTGAAAATATAAAAAATTTATAATATAAAACAATTACAAATACAAATTTGAGAAAAAGAACACTTTTAATTTATATATTTAATTAATCTAAATATCACTTTACTTTAATGATAAAATTTTTCATCATTTTATATAGTATTTAGGTCACCCTCCAAGTTTAATCATTTTTGGTGGCCATGATTATTGCCATGTAAGATCATTAAATACTTACTAAACACTATTTTCTAATCAACATGTGTAAATCACTATATTTTTAGGGTTATCATCCTTTACAAACACAACTCAAAGATAATTACATAAAGGCATACTAAAATGCCTATAAACTATTTCACTTTTTTAAAAAGTCCTTATACTTTTATTATAGTAAAATAAGTTTTTATTTTTTAATTTAATCCAAATAAATTCTTATTTTAAATAAAAAATTGATTTATATTAAGGGTTTATTTAGTTATAAATTAAGAGTTAAAAATTTATTTAGATACAAATAAAAAGTTAAAAAACAAAAATCAAGGACTTATTCAAAATATAATAAAAATATAAAGACATATTTATATAAAATTAAAAAAATTCACGAATTTTTTTATTATTTTAACTTTACGTGAACTAATTAAACTAAATATGAGAGTAGATGAATAACATCTTTTGCTAACGTAGATGACTTTCCTTCACCATTTTATTGCCCAATCCATGTCATTATACTCTCGTTCAATTATTTTGGGTTTTTCTTTTTTCATTGAGATACTTCTTTCCGCTCTTTCTTTTATATATATATATATATATATATTTCAAATTTATGTTTAAAATTTTTTTTATATTTTAAAATTACTATTGATAGTTTTATATTTTTTTAATATTAAAAATTATGAAATGAACTAAAATATTTAATATTTAATACACAAAACTATTTTTTCTTGAACTTTATAAATTTTTGTAAAAAAAATTAAGAAAACAAAACATGTCTAAAATTAAGTAATTTTTAGAAAAATGGAAGACATTTTTTCTTTAAATAAACAAGAGATTTAAATTCAATTTTTTTTATAATAAAAAAGGGTTGGCAAGCACTACTAAAAATTTTTCATATACTGACACTTAGTTATACTGACGGTCATATTACATCAGTAAAAGAGACTTTTATTGAAAAATTTTTAAAACCGTCAGAATATACCATAACTTTACCAATACTTTATACAACCGTTGGTATAGATAAACTTTTTCTGATAGTATATAACTATCCGTCAGTATAAGTATGCTATATACTGACACTTATCTATACTGACGGTCAAATTATGTAAGTAAAAAGTATTTATACTAACGGATTTTTGTTATTGTCAGTATAAACAGTGCTTATACCAATACTTTGTAAATTTATCAGTATAAGTAAACTTTTTCTGACGGTATATAAATATCCATCAGTATAAATATATTACATATTGACGGTTATAATAATTGTCAGTATAAGCTAAAAAAAATTTATTCCTAATTTTTTTTTAAAAATATTAAATCATAATATTTTCCTCTAATAAAATTTTTTAAAAACTATAATTTAATAAAAGCTATAATTATTAATAACTAAAATTTGTAACTTAATTAATTTTAAATGATAATAAGTTTTAAATAAAATTTGAAAGTATTATATTAATTAATAAATTTATAATTAAATATTAGACTAAAAATTTTTAAAATTTAAATATTATATTAATTTGGTTTCAATTAATATTTTAGTTTTAATATGGTTTCATAAAATTATAAAATCATTCTAGATCGAAAATCAAATTATAAATAATCTACATATATAGTAATATTTATATTCATATAAATATTTTTCTATGTTATTCGTAAAATTTTTTTTATAAAATAATGTTTATCGTTTACTGTATTAGCAGTTTGGGATTTTAAAGTTTAAAAAAAGAGAATGAATTTTAAAAATGATCACAAGGCGTTTGACAAAAAAAAATGCCTTCAATTTTTTGTAAGGGAATATTCAAAGCATTTTTTGAGAAAAAATGCTTTGAATATTTCAAAAAAAATGTTGAGATTAATATTCAAAGCATTTTTTAGGAAAAAACGCTTTGAATATTCCAAAAAAAAATGTTGAGATTATTGAAGATGTTTTTGACAAAAAACAGTTTAAATAATCCCCTCTAAATGAATAATTCATGGATCATTGAAAGTGTTTTTGACAAAAAATGCCATGAATAATCCACAAATTATTCAAAGCATTTTTAGCTAAAAACGCATTCAATAACCCCATTTAATATCTTGTAAGGGATATATTAAGATATTTTCTGGTTAAAAACACCTTCAATAATCCCATTATAAAAATTAAAAGGAATTATTAAATGTGTTTTTGGCCATAAACACCTCGACTAACCTTATTCAATTTTTTCTAAGCGATTATTCAAGACGTTTTCTCACAAAAATACCTTGAATAATCCCAAAAATATGGGAGGAGATTATTGAATGCATTTTTGGTCAAAAATGCCTTCAATAATCTCATCTAAAAAATTAAAGGAGATTATTCAAGGTGTTTCATAAAAATTTAAAGGGATTATTCAATACATTTCTGGCCAGAAACGCCTTCAATTTAAGCTATTTGACTTGACTTAAAAATGAAAAAAATAGTTGTTACCATTTTAAAAAGCATGTTTGAAAATGAATGCAGTCGATTGTAGGTTTATGCCAAGAAACCATTTGGTTTATATATGTGATACTATGAATTACATTTTGAAATTTGTATTACGAATATTATAATATTTCAATAAATTGATCACACATCCAAATTTATAGCTGATAGTATTGCCATATAAATATACTTTTTTCAAATAATCGTACTTAATATATGTGTATTCATATAAGCTGCCAATTGATAGAAAACAAATATATACCAATAATATTAAACCAATACCCCAATCTAGAAACTTAAATTATCCAGTCAACATGGCATGTTAAAAACATTATAAAAAATGAAATGCATATATTTACACCCAACCAACAATCTCCAATCTTAAGGTGTAGTGAACGATAATACATACTCAGCCTACTTTTTATGGACTTCATCAAGTTCGCCTATATGAAGCTTCCTTTACTCTCTCACTATTAAAAAAATTAGAAGTAAATGTTAATAAACGAGAACATAATTTAGCTTTTTTTTAAATATATTATAATTGTATGAAATTAATACTAACCTTGAATGATGTGATCATAAAATCTTATAAAACTATCTTTCTCATAAAACGAAAGACATAATATCCATATTCAGTATATCTTGGTTGACGAGGTACCTAAAAAAGAAATTTAGTAGGTTTAGAAAATATTTATTTAAACAAACTTATCATAAAACAATAAATTTTACATTTACCGGTAATGACAAGCAATTTATCTTTACTTTCTTATCAACTGTAGACATTCCCCTAAATTAAATAGAAAAAAATACTTAATACAAAAATAAAAGTAATTATGAAGAAACACAAGAAAATATAATAACTTGTAATACCTTTTTATAAAATTTTGAATAACAAGGTTAGGCTTCATTGTTGGTTGAGCGAAATTAAATAAGTATGACGTTAAGGAATTGGTATCAATCACAATAAGCTGTCAATGACGACTGTAAAATAATAAGAATGATATACTTAGATTAGGCATCATTTCAAATTCAAGTAAGGTTGGAATAATTATTTGTATGAATATAACTTACACAGCATTATACGAGACCAAAAAATAATCGGCCCATTTTTGCAAGCATTGACCCACATGACGACCATGAAAAATGATAGTGTCACTCTGCTAATTAATGAAATTCGGGTCAATGAATTTGAATTTATAGGTCATTTGTCTTACCTTGATCTCTGTATAGGAAGTTGCATAATAACAATCAACAATACTAGTTGGTAATACACCGTAACATAGATTAATATTTGCATATTTAAATTTATAAGCTAATCTCATATAAACAACAATATTAGAAGCTAATATTTCATCTAGGTACAAAATTTCTTAATCTCAAGCCTCCCAATTTAAAAAACTGATGGATGATCAAATAACCTATCCTCGAACTCAATGATAATGCACTTTCCTTCGGATAAATGATCAAGTGCATAATTAGATAACACATCAATGGCAGCCTGAGCAAGGGTCATTCTCTGAGTCTCAACATCCTGCTACAATATATAATGAAATATAAGTATTAAAACCAAATCAATAAATATAATAAACAAATAAATATTAAGTGAATAAACAAAATCATACTTCATGGCTAGTATCAGAGGTTGGGTTTTCTGCCTGACTTGCAACGAAAGCTTGTACTAGCTTGATGATGCTATCCCATTGGCCTACAAGCATGCTAGGTTGCATTGCTTTCAATATTGCCTCCAAAGCTGCGAGTCGTTACTATTGATCATTCAGGCATTGCTCTTGGTCATCAAGTTTTTGCTTTTGTTGCTCAATGATTGCTTCATATTGTTCATTCGTTATTTGAGGGGTTTTGAGTTGATTATTAAAAAACTTTGATGGCAACACAAATCTACCAACTTTATGAACTCGATCGTGTCTTTCTTTCGCTCTTAATAATAAAAACAAGGGATTTTCACCATAGTAGGTTACCAGTTCACTAGATATAATTTTAGTAGCAAAATCATCCTGAAACAATAATAAGATAGGCTATAA